CATCTCCTCATCTGAGCTCACAAATGCTCCTCTGTCAGCCTCCAATCTAACTCATTACATTACAGAGGAATTCAGCTGACTTCGGTTGAGCTTTTAGGAATGCAAGACAAACTGTGTTTATAAAAAACATCAACACAGTGGAAGGTTATCGTCCAACCTCACTGCTCAGCAACGCAACAATAAATAACACAAACACAGACAGAAATTATTGACAATGTCTTCTCCATTTTGTTGAGACAAAGTCTGATATCCAGCGAGGCATTAAAGTGTTTGCTATGACCTTTGACGCATGACGTCTATTTTTTTGTAATGTCAATCTAGGACCTGAAGAGAATTCTGTAGTTTAGTTATTATTTCCTTTAAAACCCCTCAGGCATGAAGGGAATGTAAATAACACCATGGGATTTATTATTTATCCTGCTTCACATCCATACAGTTCTCCTTTGTTGGCCACTCACTTATTATCTATAAGGATTAAAAACGGTTCCTTACTTAAGGACACTTATTCAGTATTTAACTACTGAATCATTCTGTTAAGTCCACTGATTAAAGCCAGGAAACAGTCATTTAGATTTACAGATACTGGACAAAGGCATTTAAGACATTTGACTTATGTTAATATGATTTAATCTGAATGCACATGTTTGCAGATGAGCTCCATGACATAAAAAACATAGATACCCTTTCAAAGATGTCTCAGACCCCTAGAAAACATCTAGCCTCTCAATCTGGACAGAACCATGAACCTTCTCCATGGATCTCTAAAACCTCCACAGAGATCTGTGAAACCCCTCTAGGTTCCCCTAAACCAGATCAACTGAATCTGATGACCTATCTCTAGAACCCCTTTAAAGAAGTCATATTAAAAATTAATTTAGGGGTTGTACCAGAACACCATATTTTTTGTCATACTGCACATTGCTGCAGCTCCTCTTTTCACCCTGTGTGCTGAAGGCTTCGTTTTAGCTATGGAGTGATACATCTTGTCTCCACATGATCTTTGTTGGGAGTTGCACATGTGCAGTTCCTAGTTAAGGACTACTAGCCAATCAGAAGCAGAGTAGGGCGGGTCGTGAGAAGCCGGTAAACACGGCTTTGGTTCAGCTGTATATGTTCCCCTTACCAGCTTGGCAATATGGACTGGAGCAAGAGTTTCAGAGTGGTGAGTTATTAATCTGTAAGAAAAGTTTCTTTCATCCATAAAGTTTTAACTGAGCTCTGTCTCTACATCACAGTAACAACTTTATGTCCATTGATTGCCTGGAGTGTAGCTAATGTTTGGAAGAGAGAGGAGATGGTAACTCACTTTGGGCTTTTTCACTTTGCAAACCTATTACATGCACAAAAAAAAAAGATATAAACTCAATACAGGAGAGGGGGAAAAAGCATAATATGACCTCTTTAAAAAGCTGAGAGCTTTGAACCTCCTGAAGCACTAAGAGCCTATAACAAAGACCACCTCTTGTGGACTGTTATACTAAGGCACTCACAGTTTGAATAATACAAACAGGGATGGGCCATCGTGCTTTACTGGAAACATAACTGTTAAAAAATAACCCTGCTAGCTCACTTTGCATCTTGTTACCAGCCAGAAACCAGGATTCCTCGACTGATGGCTGTGCCGTGACTGTGAATATTTTTTTAGTGACGTCAGCTTTACTCATTTTGGATCAAAATGAATGCAATTACGTTTAAAAAAGCCTTCCTCATATTCTAATCCTGCTTCCTGTGTTTGTTCTGCAGAGGAAAGCCTGTTGAAATCTGATCTGTCATTTACATAAACCCACACGCAGGGAACTGAAAGTGTCATCCCACTTGAAGCTGACTAAACACTGCAGATGGATTAATACAATCACCAGTTTGCTCACAGCTCATGTGTTGAACCAGGAAGACCTACAGTCCAATAGCTCTACAAATACAATGCATAATACACTCCGGGGAGAATGACTGTGGAAAAAAAAAAAAGACAAACTAAAGTCGCTGTAAATGCGTTATATAATTCCAGAAACACAATCACTGTCAGTACAGCTGTGTCTGTAAATTAAATATGTGAATGTGAAAATGAGCTGTAATTGAAGAGAGCAAGCGAAGCAATTTGAAGGAAATCTGTCTGTGAAATATAACAAAGACGTCCAGGTACATGTACTGTACCAAATAAATATGAATGGATAACTTGGGTGTCACAAAATAATAGATGTGTACCACAGTCACGCCATATACTGTCACAGAAGGGAGAAAACATATGTACACTATATAAATAAGGTCAATATTTAGTATTACAGAAACAATATAGATCACCATAGAAATAATGTAGGAATTCCCAAGGACCCAGTGTAGGTAAATGTAGCACTGAAACAATAATGGGTTAACTTTACACAGGGCCAAAACCAGCCAAGACCTACTGAAATGTTAATTTTAAGCACTTCTGGATCATTGTAAGAACATTTTGTTAATAATGTTAATTTAGAAAAATATAAAAGTCACTTTACACTCAATATAGTGTAGGTTACGGTGGAAACCCAATTACAGAGGCACTATGGAATTAATGCAGGATGATATTATAGGAGATCACTAAATCCAATCTTAAACACTACAGACTGTATAAGACTAAGGTTCCCTGACACTGATAAGCACTTTTGAATTACTTTAAGAACAATTCATCAATAGATGTTTAGAAAAAAGCACTGTTCAGATATATAGTGTTAGGGGAGACCGGGTATGGTTGTAACATGGGGAGAGTTGTAACAACACCAATTCCACCAATCATAGATTAGATTAGGAGTTATGAGATCATTTTAGTATTTACCTACTTCGTCACCAATCAGGCATGGTGGTTGTCAAGGCTAGAAACAGGCACATTCAGAATACATAGAGAAAAACTGATTTTGAGGTCAGAAAGTAATTTTTTGACCCAGACTATGTTTTGTTTATCTATACTATTGCAGATAAAATTGTTTGACTTAGATTGAAATGCAGTTTCTTAGGCCACCACTATGCTAAAACAGCTAACTAAACACTGGCTGACAGGGGTGGTCAGGGGGGTGGGGTGGGTTGTAACCATAGACTGTATAAAAGAGGTGGACGCAGTCATTGTGATGTCACCTGTTGGTTTGTGGACTGCCGTTTTGAAGCCTTGTAGTGACCGTATTTGGACGAGACGGTGGAGCTAAAGGCCGCGTGTGGAGATAGCTATCTTGCTTAGCTAGACGTGCATCTGTAATTCACCTTAACTGTCATTTTAACAGGGCTGACAGCTTTGTCTAGCAAAAGCAGTCTTAAAACTAAATGTACTCACCACAAAAAGTGAACCGCCAACTCCTGATAAGTCTTTTCAACAGCACTGGTTAAATTTACACAGTGCCGTGGGTACGAGTCACTCTAGCCTGACTGACAGGTCGCCATGGTAACGACTTGTCAATCATAGATAATCCCGTCCTGAATTATTCTCTGCTTTATGGTCTATTTTCCCGTAAATAGGACCATAATTTACTAAATGAACATCATGTTGTGTTGAAGAAGACTTAAAATAAGCGATTGAGACCATAAACTCATTAGGAAAGTGTTTACTGAGGTAATTATTCAGCTGAGAAGTTTTTTGCAAACATAAGAGTCGCCCCCTGCTGGTCGATGAGTAGAGTAAAACAGGATTAAGGGACTTCGCATTGGATTCACGTTTCCCGCTAGGTTGTAACACTTCTTCACAAAGTGTTACAACCATCCTTTATACATACAACTAGGGACTTTCTTGATTTTAATATTTTACAGAGTGACCTTTGCAGTCTGGGCCCACCAAGCCTGCACTCCAGGGTTACCAGCATTCATTTGTCAGCACTGTGACCAGTACTCCCCATTCACATGTTGGTCACAAGTTGTTCACATGTTGGCGTGTGTATCGGCACTTGAGCTTTTCCTCATTCCGTCTCCGCCGGTAGAGAGGTCAGAAAAGCGTACAGGCAGCCTATATAGAAGTGCTGGTACTGTGTACCGGTGAGTACCGGCCCACTTCAAGCACTGACTGGGACTCTGATTAAGAATTTACACACACTGAGACACACCTTTTTTTTGTTAGACCTAAGGATGTACAGAGATGTTCTTTAATTAGGTACATTTTAGTAGTATTTATTAAGTATACTTTAAAGTATGTTTATTCTATAGATAAATTTAGATACTGTACATGTGCGCGAGTCATCAGACATGGTCTGTTAGAGTGAGAGAGAAACATTGTTCTTTTATATAACTACCTGTTTTTGAAGCATATCATATATCTATTTTTGCTTCTTTTGTCTAACTGTTACAACTTACCTCAGCATGTGTTACAAACTACCCTGGTATTTGAGTAGGTTGTGGAGGACTGAATTGGTGCAATTTGTAGTGAACAGATGTGGGTACTTTGTATAAAAGCTTGAAATTCAGTGAGTTATAGTTGCTGATGCAAAAAGTGTTACAACCATACCCGGTCTCCCCTACCATGGATGATAAGGTCACTTAAAAAAAGAAACCTATAGAGGACAATAGACCCACTAAAGTTCATGTCACTATAGGAACACAAACAAAGAAACACAACCATAAAATTACTATGATAAGAGATAAAGTTACTGTAACCATGAACAACTAAAATCTGTAGGAAATATGACACTGTTTGTGCAAGTATAGGAACCACAGAGGAACTACGGAAATATAGACTAACTGCAGGATGATATTATAGGAGATAAACTCAATATTGAACACCATAAACACAATTTAGATGATAGAAACGAATATAGGGATATAATACGCGGAGCACGGCATTTGAAATAAACTAAATCCTAACATACTAAGTCATTATGGGAACAGCGGTATAAAATCACTAGAATTACTACAGAATGATATCCTAGACTCTGAATATCACAAATACAATATAAATGAGTACAGGAATATATGCGTATGTTCTAGGGTATTAGAAATACCCTAGAATTAGGTAACTGTGTAAAACCACTACAGGAATACGATGCATGTCCCACCTCCTCCTCGGCGGCCGCTCCGTTGCCTACGTGGGCCATGTCTGCGCCCGGTGCCTGTCCTCCCTCCGGTCCGCTGGGTTCCACTGCTGTTCCGTTCCTATCAGGAGAACCACAATCCCATTTCTGTCAGACACTCCGCCGTGCTGCTGCAGAGACAAAACCCCGTGCTTTCGTGCGACTGCTGTATTTTGTAATTTTCCTCTTCCTGTTTTCGCTCTTAGTGTTTGTCCCCCGGTTTATTTCCCCTGACGCATACGGTAACGTTGCTCGGTTCGACCTTCTCCCTGTCGGTCGCGGTGGTTGTGTGGACGCCGACCTTCCGCTCTCTTCCGTGAAAAGGAAAAAAGCGTCTACGTTTCTCTCACACACACACACACAAACTGAAAACACACCTCCCCTGCTTCCGTTTCCTCGCCAACGCAACCCGGGGAGAGAGGAGAGAGGCTGCAGCTCAGTTCAATCACACTGCGTGCCTACCTGACGAATATAGGCTATATGATTAGTGCATCCAATCATGGATTAGATACACCACATATATAATGACCTGTTTGTGTACAGGGATGGAAACAGCTACACACACATTTTACTTCGGCGCAAAAATGTTACACAGAAATATAAAATTCCAATGAGGCCTACTTATTATGCATAATAATACAGGCCTATTTTACTGTAACAATGATGCATTAATAATAATAAATTGAATTTCACGAACGCTTTTAATGTGTTCTCTTTACTATTGCAGCTGGTAACAAATGTGCTAAATTTAACTAGGCTATATTATATAGGCCTACTGCTGGTTAGATTAATACACAACAAGACAAATAATGTCTTAATTGATTGTGTTTTGGATCAATAATCTGAATCTGTAACTAATGTGAGACACACGTAGTGGAGCCAAAAGTCCTACAATACTGGCTTCCACAATGCATAGGAGCAAATAATGGAAATACTAAGTACATGTGACTGAAAATTGTATTTAAAACTTGGGTAGGCAGTTTATCAGCAGGGGTTGTAGCAAATTCTGTGGTCTGGTTGCTGCCTTGCTGCCACACAGACCAGTGGTCGCTGCCTATTGCACAGTTTTTCTCTTATCACACCCAGGTATGTAACTGGGTTCTTTACTGGATACCATTAACTGAAGTGGTAGATTTGTTCGAGTTCAATCTTAAGCCTTAACACATCAAATTGCTTTGATCCATTCCTGTCTATTAGACAAAAAAAATGGATAATCTGCCAGGTGAGATGATTTAAATTATCTAAGGTCACTTAAGGCCTACTTTGAAACCATAGACTGTACAAAAATTTGACCTTTTTCAAATGTCACAATCATGGTCACAATGTGTGTGACAAGGAACAGAGAGAGGCCTTCCCTCAGAGACTGTGGTAGCGACCAGTGGTCCATGTGGCAGCCTGGCAGCAAGGCAGCAACCACTATCCTTAGCACCCCTAGTGGCAGCAACCAAACCACAAAATTGGCTGCAACCCCCTCTCCAGTTTATTTCAAATTCTCTTTACATCCTGATGGCAATCACTAAATGAATGAATCTGCTGTATGTGGCTGCCACAGGACTTTACCTGCCTGGGCACTCACTGCGCATGAGCATGTGTTTTGGGGACGTGGCTTTGGCGGGAGGCCCGCAGGAAGGAGGTGTTTGTTAGCTTTATCCAATATATCCAATTTATTATGACTTCATCTCAATGCTGAGTCAGCATTCACAGCCTATGTTCTTCTATAAATTTATTTTCCTATAAAACTTTACAATTTTGTCTTTCAAAAATGTTGTAAAATTATGATTTTATTTTTTTAAATTGCAACTTTGTTGGGACTTTTAGAAAAAAAACAATGTTGTGCATTTTACCAATCCGAATGATCATACTTTAATGTACTGGAAATGCAAACACATCAGAGGTGAAAAAGGTCACACACTGTCCACGTCGCCCCATCTCACCCTGCATCTACACAAATCACATAAATAGCGTATTTCAGATTCAAAACAGCCAATTTTGCTGAAAGGTGACAAGTTTGCAGATGAAAACATTCCCATTGCATCTTTAACATCTGGAACTCGTAGCTTTAAAATGAAAAACACTGTAAACGCCGTGTCAGGTTTGTGAATCATTCTTATTTCTGAAAGTAAAAATTACATATTTACAACAGTAACAGCCTATTAGAAAACAACTTTAACAAAACAAGTACAAAAAAGAATAAAAACATCTCACAGCGTCACAATAAAACATCTTGCTGTACAAAGTTTTATAAAAACACTGAGCAGCTATTATGAGTTCTCTGTAAGTTTACTGCTGCGGTGCCCTTGAGCACCTGAAGTGTGAACATCACAGGCGGTTTAATGCTTTGATTCATGGTTTAAAGCTGCTGCGAGTGTTGTTTGAACATCAATCTGTCGGTAAAAAATAAAATGCACATTCAAAATGAAACCACATTTCCCATCAGCCCCCCTATGTCCTTCCTGAACAGCATAAACACATTTAAAATGGACTGAGCACCTTTAAATTCAATGCATTTACACAAAGTTTTAGTTCTATTACTGAAACATTTAAAAAGAAAAACTAATGGAAGGACGCTCTCCTAACGGATAACAGAGGTAGGTTACGTTAACGTGGTGTTCTTAAAGGTACTGTTCACCCAAATGACCACAAAAAAAACACACAAAAAAACCCCAACTTTCCTCTATCAGCGCATAAAGTTTTAGTTTTATCTGTCCAGGTTTTGAGATGTTTGTCGAAACCCAAATGCATCGAAGGAGATAAAGTATTCTCAGGTTAAAAGGGTAATCTTAGGGTTAAAGACACTTAGGTTAGTTTAAAAAACACGGGTAAGATGGGGGTTAATGCTCAGGTTAAGGTGTGTAATGCTATACTTTACGAACAAGAAAGTTAGTGGATGAGAGACAAACACAGGTCTATTAAAGTCAGGATAAACCGTACTAATGCGCTGAGTTAATATGTCATGATGAAAAGCACCAAACACACTGTACCTGCTCAGGTGTGACAATCCACACAAACACTGTTAACTCCTGTTCAAATGTAACAACAGGAAATAAATACTCAGAGCTGTACAGGTGTGTGTGTGTGTGTGTGTGTGTGTGTGTGTGTGTGTGATGAGGTAAATGGTTGTGGAAGTCCTTAATGTCCATGTGGCGGGATTGTTTCAGGTAAACACCCCCGCAGATTACAGCTGGTTCAGTCCAGGCTCCTTCAGGAATACTGTCCCTTCAGGAGCGGCCCACTGGCGCTGTGGGGGATAAACAATAAACAAATAAACAAGCTGCCAATCAGCATCTATATTAACAGTATATGATATCATTATGTCTTACATCTATATTTTCATAATAAAATATCATAATTTAATAATAAGGAATCCATGTCAACATTTTATTTTGCTAATAAAATATACAGAAATATTTTATTTCCACTAAATAAACAATAATCATTACCAACATAAATTACTACTAATAAATAATCCATCCAAAAAATAGTTTTAAGTCATAATGATAAAAAGTCTAATAAAAATATTTTTATTAATTAAATATATTTGAGGAATAATTTATCCTACTCTACTACTAAATATACACAAAACTTAATTTTATAATTATAATAAAATACCAAAAGCTGCATTTTCTGTATTTTAATAATAATTCATACATTACTAATAATTCTTTGTCATAAATTATACAAAATCTAATAAAACAATTCTTTAGTGTAATAATATATTTAATTACTTAATTTATTACATAATACAGACAGATAGTTATTTTTACATGGTATGCTTGTCTAATTATTTTCTTAGAATTTGTTCTTAATATTTTTATTTTATTAAATTCTTCGTTTTAGAAACGATCTGATAAATTATATTAACTCAAGGTCGGCTTTTAAGCTAACAACTTTGAGATTAAACTATTTTGTGAAATTGTAATTGTTGATTAATTACTCTACAGGTGAAGAATTATTAGTGAAAAAAATAATTGTGTTTTGATTTATTAATTTGTTAATGGCACAAGACTTTTTATTACTGTATTCTGATTTATTTACCTTACTTTGTCGCCTCTTCTTTCTGTACCTCCCTCCTCCTCACCTCCCATCTTCTCCTCCTCCCCCTGCCTTGCCTCAGCCTCTCTGCTCTCCTCTCCCCACCCTCCTCCTCCTCCGTCAGTCCTCCTCCACCCCTTCACCCGGCCCATGCGTCTCTTCACCTCTTGCAGCAGCTCTTCCCTCGGCAGCGTCTCCTTGCAGCGCTCCACCCGCTGCGCCTCCTCCCTCTCCTTCTCCTCCAGCAGAGAGCGCAGGAAGGTGGCGCTCACCACCTCCTCCCCCTCCCCCACCAGATAGGCGTTCTTGAAGCGGTTGTAGAGCATGGAGGCCTTGTCCATGATAGCTTGGTTCGCTCTGTAGTACCGCATCTACACACAAAATCACCATATTTGATTTATCAGCTTCTGTCACATGAGGAGAACTTTTCTATTAATAATTTCGACTGTGTGTACCTTTCTCAGGGTGGAGACGAGCTCACTGTGTCTCCGGACGTGTTTAGAGGTCACATAAACCATACTGAGCTGATCCAGCGCCATCAGACACTTGCTGATGTCCTGAAACACAGAAAGAGATTCAGGCATCACCGTCAGTTTCAGCTGTACTGTCGAATCATGTTTGTCAATCATGTCATTAAAATCTAGCTAGAGTACAGGACTGAACGGGAGAATAATATTGTTGTTGGTTCAATATTTGTAGCTTCTGATGACTTTAATGAATAACATTTCCCATAAGCCCACAGACTATTTTGGGTTAAATGTCACGGCTCGACAAAAGATACAGTTGAGTGTTGTTCACGCGTCTGTAGCGACAGAATAACTGAAGAAAATGTTGATTCATTTTATGTTTATGGATGAAACCAAGTTACAATGGGTTTAAGTACCCGTGCTGGTAAAGTTTTTTCCTGTGCTCACACAGTAATCATTGAACTTTCTTAAAATTAGTGCTGGGCAACGATTACAATTTTTAATCACGTGATTTTCTGCAATTAATTGCATAGTTATGTGCAAAACTGAATAATGAATTCTAAATTAGTGTATTGCGCACTTTTAATTTAAATGTACTGCTATATACACAAAAATGCAATAACATGCGGTTTGCAAACACTTTAAACAAATAAGGTGCTTTTTACCAGCAGTATTCCTTTACACAGCAGCAATAAAATATTCCTTGTAAATCTCAACTTTAACATTAATGTAATCAAATCAAATATTAAACCAAAGCTATTTACCACTGCCAGGAAATTACCTTTTATGAGCAACAGGTTAACATATATAAATCTGTTTTCTTGTTTTTTTTCCTGAGCAGGTATCAGCAGAAACATTTTTCTTTTATCAGGGAGCAGCAAACACACTATTTTCAGCAGCAAGTGTCCCTGTTATAGTGAGGTGAAGGGGTAGAGACGGTAATTTTAACTTAAGTTAAATAGGCTACAGCTGTGTAGCGCACAGAAGCCATGGTTATTCTCCATAGAGCGCAGAGCAACCCCGCGGGGCCAAGCAGGGTACGTTTGATGAACACAGCTGCCCTCTAAACCAAAAGCTAAGAGCTAAAAGAGGCTAAAAAGCTCAGATATATATAGAGATATTGACTAATACAGCTTTAAAAACATACATAAACAGTCCAGTATAATAATAGACCAGTAGGTAAACATGTGTGTCTTACAGGATTGTCAGTCTTCAGAGAAATCCTGATGTCTCCGTGGATTCTGTGCAGAGTCGAGTCCGTCAGCGTCATGGTTAAACTCTTCTTCATTTGCTGCTGCTGCTGCTGCTTCTCCACCGTCCCTCCATCTGAAGAATCACCCTTCGTTTTACTTTCTTCTGCGCTCGTCTTTGCTTCTTCTGCAGTTTCCGACTCGGCAGCTGACTTATCTGCAGCTTTCTTCCCTGGTTTTGTCTCTTTGGTGCTCGTCTGTTCCAACTCTACGCCTGTTGTCTTTGTTTGTTCGGCGGTGGCTTTGTCGTCCGCAGGTTTATCGCTCGTTTGCTCTCTCTTCTTCTGTTCCCGTGTCGTAACTTTATTCACCTCAGTGTTGTTCTCTTGAGCTTTCTGCGTCTTTTGCTCCTCTTCCGCCTTTTTCAGGGTCTCGTCTTCGCCGCTCTTCTTTCGTTTCTCCTCTTCCCCCTTGCCCTTTTTATCCTTCTCTACCTCCGTTACATTCCTGTCTTTTTTGTCCTCTGTCAGCGCTCTCGTTTTTTCCACCTTTCCATCTTCCGATTTCTTCTCTTCAGCGCTCCCTCTCTTCTCCCTCTCTGTCTGCTTCACCTTTTCTGCACCCTTTTTCTTTTCTTCTACCTTTTCTTCTTTGCTCGTCTTGTCCTCTTTCTTCTTCTTCTCCTCTTCGGCCGCTGTCGTTCCTCCCATTATCGTCTTTACCTGAACCTTCGCTCCCTGTCCGCCCGTTGCTTTCACAATCTTTCCGATAATTCTTCTCTCGTCCTTCTTTTCTTCGTCTTTCTGCTGCTTTGTTTCCTCTCTTTTCTTCTCTTTCACCTCCTCATCTTTCTTTCCCTCAGCCTTCATCTTGTCTTCCTTCTTCTGCCCGCTCTCCTTTGCTTTTGTCTTGACATCATCCGTAGTTTTGCTGATTTGATCACTTCGGTCAGTCTTCTTGTCCTTTGTCTTCTGTTCATCCTTCTTTACCTCTGCTGACTTTTGGTTGGACGTCTTCACCTCATCCTTTTCTTCTTTTTTAGCTCTTTCTTTCTGTTTGACCTTTGTTGTTTTTTTCACCATCTTGCATTCATCTTTCTCTTCCTTCCTCTCGGTCGCTTTCTTGCCGACGATCTTCTTGCCGATGGAGCTTTTGACGCCTGATTTCTTGGCGATCACCTTGGTGGCAGGTGATTCTTTGACCCTTTTCTTGTCTGACGTCTTCTGACTTTCTGTCTTTTTAATCTCGACCTTCTTCTTTTCTCCATCCCTGGCATTCCTGACAAGAAATAAACATTTAACACGTCCTTCAACAACGGGTTAACGGACTTAAATGTGCTTCTCTGTTTGCGATTCTTACTGGGAACTCTTCATCGTCTCCCTCCTCTTCCCTCCTCTGCCGGCCTTCAGCAGACCTCTCAGAGATTTAAACAAACTCTCCCTCTTGGCTGCCAGGCGGCGCTGTCGCTGCACATGAAACAAACATAGTTACTATTTAAAAGAAGCACTATATTCCTGAAGCTTTTAATCAGTGTTTTTATGATTCCCTCCCCTATTCCTTGTTACAGTCAGTGTTAAAGAATATTCTTAGGGTGCTCAATTGATGTATAAGGGAAACCTAAGACAGCAGGTCAAGCTTAGAGTCATTAGCTGACCCCACAAGGGTTCATTGACCTTCCAGCTCTAGTTATTTCTCTCATGTAACTGTCCTTGTTGTTAGGGAGACGACAGACTGATAAGGTAGAGACAGTAGCTCAGGTGTCAGGCGACCAGATATCGGTGTTCTCTGGGAATCTGACAAGTTTGAGTCTTACAAGAATGTTAACAAGGACTTACTGGAGTCCAACTCATGGATAGTAACAGATTCCAATTCATAGTTTTCAGTCACGTGACATGCGCGGTGACCTGGAGGGCAAAACAACAGACCAACATAGGGGCTCACACCACGACTCGCCCCGTGGAGACGCCGCAAAATAGTCAACTTTTATATGGATCACCTTTCAACTTAATAACTACAATATAGGACTGGAAATGCAGGATAATAGGTGCCAGAAGATAACCTAACAGGAACTAGGGGGAAGACAGAAACAGAAAACAGAAAATAAAAAGGGACCAAAAGATGTTATCCTTCAGATTTGTTGTGTTCACATGTTGTATGCTGGCACTGTAGGTCCTCGGCTGGACAATAAATCAGTCAAGCCTAACCCTGATCCCCGAATAACCGTATCTCAGCATAAAGACCACAAATATAACTGACGACAGAGAACCTTCACAGACTGTAATATAACTGTCCGCCTGGAGAATTGTAGACGTGTTTATAGACATGGAAATGAAAGGAAATAAACGGGATGGCTCGACCTCTGCTGCTTCCATTTAACAGTTCTTTTTTTACTTACGAACTAAACGGCTGGAGAGATTTCCTGCTCTTCTGTTTGTCTGAATAACTTTGGGACTATTTGTCAAACAAAACGATACATAGACTAAGCGATTATTCGATTAAGTATTAATTTCTTTCTGTTGATCTGTGCAAAAAATGTTTGTTTATTCACAGCAGCCAACAGAAGTTTTGCTCGACTCGCGTCGCTTCAGCGAATTTGTTTGCATGTTTGTGCTAACTGGACCTGCTTTCTACATTTTACTGTGTTGTTTCGAATCACAATCCACCGACGCCGAGTGTCACGAGAGAAGAGTTGAATCAACGTTTCTAGAAAATGAGAGCAATAAAGACTGATGAGTAGCTTTACCTCCTCGTCCACGGAACCGCCTTCTTTCTCTGTTGCTTTTCCACTCTTCTCCTCCTCTGTCGGCTTCTTCTTCATCTCTTCTTTCTTTCCTTCCACGTCAGCATCTTTAGATTTCTTCTTCTGTTCCTCTTTCTCTGCACCCCTCGTCTTCGTCCCTTCACTCTTCTCCTCCTCTGTCACCTTCTTCTTCTTCTTCTCTTCTTTCTTTCCTTCCTCATCGGCATCTTTTGTTTTCCTCATCTGTTCCTCTTTCCCAGCTCTCCTCGTCTTTGTCCTTTCACTCTCTGATTTTTCTACAGTTTTCTCCTCCTCTGTCAGGTTCTTCTTCGTCTCTTCTTTCTTTTCTTCCTCGCCGGCATCTTTAATTTTCTTCTTCTCTTCCACTTTCTCTGCTCTCCTCGTCTTCGTCCCTTCACTCTCTGACTTTTCTACAGTTTCCTCGTCCTCCTCTGTCGTCTTCTTCCTCTTCAACTCTTCTTTCTCTCCTTCCTCATCCTGTATGGTTTTCTTCTGCACCTCCTTCTCTTCCTTCTTCCTCTTTGTTCCTCGGCTCTCCTCTCTTTTTGTCACTTCTTCAGTTCCTTCTGTAACATCCTTCTTCGTGGTCAGCTGTGCCTCCCTTTCTCTCGTTCTTTTCCTTCCTTCGCTCTCCGACCTCGTTCCTCTCCTCGTCGTCTCCTCTGTCTTTTGTTCGCTGCCGTCTTGTTTTGTTTTCTTCTCCTCCTCCTCCTCCTTTTGTTCCTCTTTCTCTGCTCTCCTCGTCTTCATCCCTCGGCTCTCTGCTGACGTCTTTTCTTCTGTTGTTTCTTTTGTCATCACATCATTGTTTCCTTCCACACCTTCGTCCTGCTTTGTTTTCTTCTGTTTCTCCTCCTCATCCTTCTTTCTTTTTGTTCCTTGGCTCTCCTGTGTCGTCTTCTCTTTCATCGTCACTTTCTTTTCTTCAGTGCCATCCTGACGGCTTTTCTTCTGCACCTCCTTCTCCTCATCCTTCTCTTGTCTCTTCCTCTTGACTCCTTGACTCTCTGATGACTTCTTCCCTTCCTTATGTTGCCCTCTCTTCTCCTCCTCTTCCTGGTCTTTCTGTCCTTTGTCGTTCTTGGTGGTTTGTGTCGAAGCAGATTTTGGTTCTGGGGTCTTCAGTTTCTTGCTGACTGTTGGAGGAAAGAGACAGTTTTAACTACTAAAACCTCAGTTGGTGCACTTTAATAGAATTAATCCTAAAGTTCGTTAGTTAGTTACCTGGAGAGCTCACAGCAGGACTAGCGGGTGTCCTCTTCTCGTGCTGCTCAGCATCAACCTCACAAAAAAAACAAATAAAAACAGCAGACATTTATCCAAATACGTTAAAGCCTGCATTACGTGCGTAGTCTCGATGCACGTAGCCGTGCCGATGCAATCGTGAGCATTTATATTTGTGCATTGGTGTTTGTGTCGCTCTGCAATGACCCTGCCAAAATGCTAGTCTCTAGGGGCGACTCCGAATAGTTAAAGATTTGATAGAAGGAGCCTGATTCAATTCCCAATCTCACAGACGAATCTTCGCAGAGCCGTTATGAAACAAGGATCATACCATTTTGGCGATATGGGGGAGGCTTAACATCTGATTTTACATAGAACCACTGGTTTTCTCCCAGTAAGTTAATATACAACCTGTTATGAATATATAAATATCAACTTATAATGCTGTACATGAACATTTGAAAAGAAAGAAGCTTTTAATAAATCTTGTTAAAGTGCGCAAATAAATCAAAAATTCTTGTGTGGCATAACGTGTGGTAGAAGAGGGAGAGAGACACACGGCACCAGCAGCTCCGGGGTTGTACAGGGTTGTGTGTGAACTTGGAACTTGTGGGACGTTTGAATCATTTATAACCACAAAAATAATATTTTATCATTTTTAAACAGCAGACTACTTTAAATAGATCCGCAATGTCGTGCATGCAATTGTCGGTGGACACACACAACTCTGTACAAGACTAATAAGACTGCAGCTCTGAAACTTTTCAAGATCAAAGTGGAGCTACCGTGTGCAACAAGCGACACACACACAGATTCGACTATCAGTAGACTAAAGGCAATTCTGATTAGACTATGTAAATCCTTAGTCAGAGACAACCCTACTAGTTTCTCTTTTAGATAATCAGCTCCTGTAATAAAGATTATTAGATTATTAAAGGAGACCTATTATGCTTTTCCACATTTTATGACTAATCTACAATGTTACAATGTTGGCTGTTCATGTTAAAAATGGCTAAAGCTTAAAACCATGTGGTTAAAGTATTTAAAAGAAATCACCGTGAGACAAAACCTCAATGATGATGCAGTGAAAAGTGACGATTCTCTCTGACCAATCAGTAGTCTGCTTTGTTTTGACGTCACATTTTCGCCTCAGCTCGCTTGGAACCTCGACGGAGGTGCTACGAAAAAAAGTACCTGGAAGCAGGTTCAGGTACAACTTTTCCACAATGGAAAACCAAACAAAGGCGAGTCGAGCTGGTACTATGCAGTGGAAAAGGGTCTATATATGGTCATTTGCTCCCATAGCAACGACACAGCAACGCTCAGTCTGCCTGTTCCGCCCAGCGACAACAACAGCCTGGTAAACATGCTTCAGATCTTAGCCAATCAGAAGACAGTGGGCTTTGAGAGGAGGGGCCTTAAAGAGACAGGAGCATCTACGGCTTGTTTCAGACAGAGGCTGAAATGAAGCCCTACATGAAGAATCAGTATAAGAAAAAAGTTGCCATACAGGAGTCACAGAACTACAATATAGGACTGGAAACGCAGTATATTAGGTCTCCTTTAATGCTTGTGCCTCATGTGTGTGCAGCATTTTACTACATTTAGCTGCTTGGAGGTGGAGCTACTTTATATACAGTCAACTAGTTTAATCCAGTTGTTGCTAATCTAGTGTAGGGGTCTCCAAAGGATCAAGAAGAAAAAACAAAGTTCTAATACACAAATCTCTAATGTTTGATCTTCTTTTGTCAAATGTTGACAACAACTCATGGACGTGAGGAACATGGGGTCACAGGCAGACGTTGACTGTAAGGTCTCACAAGCAATAAAGGTTGGAAACCACTTCTCTAATCTTTAACACTGCTGGAGTAATGCTAAAGCCACTCTGAACACAACAACCTGAGTCCCTTCATCATCATCATCATTACTGCTGTTCAGGAGGTTCACCAGCAGCAGTTACCTTGGACTCTGCAGCTCTGCTTCTGGTAGAAGCCCGACGTGTAGCCGCAGCCTCTTCAGTATCTGTAGCGGTGGAAGTTAACGGTATTTCAACCTTCTCAGAAGCTGGTTTGGAGTCGGTCGCCTTCACTGGGGTTTCTACGGTGCTCAGACTTTTCTTCTCAGCTGTAACTTTATTTGTATTTGCCGTTTCAGGTTTGCTGTCTGTAGCGTCCGCATGGGTCTTCCTCTCAGAGGGTTTGTGAGGGGAAGTTTCACTCACAGAGGCTTTGGAGGCGGTTCTTGTTTTCACAGTTTGGGCTGTAGTCTGCGGAGATACAAAACAAACACATTATTTCATTGTGTTTCTTTTCAAGGTTCTTGAAGGTGGAAAGCCCCGGAAAAGAAAGAGTAAGTGGATCTTTATCGTTTCATCCATCCATTATCTATAACTGCTTGTCCTCAGAGGGTGGTGAGGGGGCTGGAGTCGATCCCAGCGAACACTGGGCCCAGGCTCATCACAAGGCTGACACACGGAGACAATCAACCATACACGCTCACATTCACACCTACGGCCAATTTAAAGTCACAAGTTAACTTTTAACGGCTTCATTTGCCCTTACCTCCTCCTTATTTTCTGCAGACGTGGCATCAGTAGTAAGTTCGTGTCTCCCTCCTGCAGACGAGCTTCTAACAGCTGCCCTCCTGCTTCTTGTAGTCGCAGCAGTCTCTGCAACATCTGCCGAGGTGACGTCTTTTGAAGTTGAAGCCTGTTCAGAAGTCTGTTTGGAGTCTGTTGTTTTCTCTGGAGCAGATCTTAGAGAAGCTCTTGTAGGAATTTTAGCCGCCGCAGCAGCAGCAGCAACTGGACTTTTTCTGCCAGTAGCTGGTTTACTGTCGGGCTGTGCAGGGGCAGATTTACTGGAAGTTGATTTAGTCGGGGTGTTTTTAAGTTCATTTGTAGTTTTAGCAGCAGAAGTCTGTTTAGCAGGTGAAGTTTGCTGTGCTGGTACCTGGCACCACAAAACAACGGATACGGTCTGTTAGAAGCAAACATCAGTTCATTAAGTGAAAAGAGAAATTATAAAAAATGCCCCAATAACAAACTTTGACAACCTGATTAACTTTTCGCTATTTATCCAGTAAAAATGCCAATGATTTGCAGTTTTTACAGCTTCGTAAGAAGGTTTTGCAGCATTTATTTTATAGCATTTGGTGAAAATGTTTTCTTACCTTTAAGTCAGACAAAGGACAGTGTTTAAAGGGATCACTTCGGGCTTCAGTAAACTGGATAGATATTTATGATTTTAGCAACACTAGCAGCATGATTCTGGAGACGTCGGTCGACCCATTAGTTCACACTGAAATTATTGGATGGTTCAGACGCCTCAGGGTGAACATGACTCTGGTGATCCTTTGACTTTTTTTTGACTAAAAGCATTCCCATGTACTTTGTATTTAGTAGGGCTGGGCAATATGGACCAAAAAGTCATATTCCGGTATTGATAGGCAGAACTCCGGTATAAAATATAAATCAGTATTTTCTGCTAAGTTGGCTGAAGGAGGGAGGAGGGGTGTCAATCTGCCTCCTTCAGTTCTCTTCACACTCACAGACCTCACGTGCCCCCGACTTCTTTCCGTCTCTCCTCGGTAACTTTCTCCATCAGTAGTAGGCTACGTTTTATAAAGTAACCGAATTGTCTTCTGGACTTTTCCTCCCACGACTCCGTTCACAGCAGCAGCTGCGCCGCATGTTAGCCTTTCAAAACAAAACCAACATGGTAGCTAACGAATTACATCTGCACTGTTGTGTTCACTGTCGCTTTACCTGTCCGTGCTTCTTAGATATCCACCGTGTCACGACTGCCACGTGTTTCTCTGAAAAATGCTAACGTGTCGCCAAATATACCCGGGCGGCCCGCCAAAATAAAGTGAAGGTGTGAGAAACACTGACTGAACTGTTCAAGTTCATTTATATAGCACAATTAAAAACAACATTAGTTGACCAAAGTACTTTCCACAATAGACAACAAATATACATGACAACAACAGCAGAAAAAGTAAAAAATGTCACTACTCAACTCTGTTGTGAATAAAGATAGGTCTTTAGCAAGGATGTGAAAATGTCAGGAGCATTTCTTATTTCAACAGGTAAAGTGTTCCAAAGATTAGGAGCAGCTACTGAGAAGGCTCGGTCCCCTTTAGTTTTTAACCTGGATCTGGGGACATCAAGGAGCATCTGACTGGATGACCTCAGTGCTTTGACCGGAGTGTGTATAAAACATTTTTTAAGTCTGTAGGCCGACCACTGACCAATCAGATAACTAGAAATATGGAGTCATCATTCCTACAGGATCCTGACAGGGACAAAAGTACTAACTTTACAGTACAGTACTAAATCAAGGGTAACTATACAAACTCCTTTATTGTCAGAGTTTTATAAAATACTACGATTTGGTTCTAAAAGCACTGAGTGTTTTTTTCACCACCACCTCTCAGGTGGTCTGGGATCAGGTCTGCTTACCGTCCCCAGGGTCCCAGTTTTTAATCCACATTTTATTAAATAAACATTGTCATTTCACGGTCACTCTTGTTACTTACTTACAAACTTATTTTCATCTTTTATTTTACTCTTTTTTTAAGTCTCATATTTACGTGTCTTGTTTTGCTGCCTTGTCAGACTAGACCCAGTCCAACCCCCTAATGTTGACCATGTTCACAATGTTTTTCCTGGCTTGTTGCTTCAGCCTGGGTGTGGTGTGTCATTACATCCTTTCTGACTAATCTTGACCACAGAGCCAAAGTTCAAATATGCGACCAGGTGGAGGTCAGGGGTTGGGCAGACCACCACGTAACATCTCAGACCTCTACACATTAGAAGGTCAACAGGGTAGGAATCTCTAAATATATATGCGTAAAGCTCTTTGAGTCGTCTTGTTGTTGAAAGCTGCTACACTTAAATAAACTTGCCGTTGGGTTGTCACGTGTTCTGACTTAGTGTCCCAGCAGCTGAACAGAGAGGATGTTGACTTTTGGCCATGACCTATGAAACGTTAGATAGAGCGCGAGATACTTACTTTGAGTTTACTCCCGACACCAGGTGTGTTCTGGATCTCCCACATGCCCTCCGTGAAGCCTCTGATGCGGACGCCGCTGCCGTACTTCTTCTTGTTGCCGACGTAAGGGACGATGTTCTCCGGAGGGAGGTGACCTCTGAGGAGGAGGGAGGAGAAATTAATCACAGTTCAGTCAGCGCTGTAGATCTTTTATCAGGGGAAGTGAGGTCACCGGTCGGCAGCCGTGTGTACGTACATCTGATGGGTCCCGAAGAAGTAGACCGGGACTCGCTTCTTGTATCCATCTTCCGACTTACAGATCTGAACGCACACAGACAGAAGAGCATTGACCATCACAGCACAGAGACGCACGTCTGTTATTTACAGCTCGTATGCGCGTGTGTGTTTGAGCGTGTGCGTACCCTGGCCGGCCAGTGAGGGAAGCCCTTCATCTTGGCGAAGACCAAGTCCCCCGGTTTGAAGCTGTCGCCCGTTTTCCCCGGCATCCTGCTGCTTCAGAGAGGGAATCGAACGCAGCTGGAAACAGAGAACAGAGGCGCCACGTAGACTTTAAACTCATTTACTGCTGCTCGTAGTGGATTACTCAGCTGACAACTTCCTGAAGCCAGTACAATCTGACAAGGTCCCTGGCTTTGCCATTTCCTCTTTAATAATGACCATCATGATACGTTTTAATTATTAGATAGAGAATTCTTCTGCGTATTTAATGTCTGACAAGAGACACCAGTCCGACGTTAGGACGCTGGCTTCTACAGTTAAAAATGAGCTCATTCACATTATTTATTGGCTTGATAAATAAGTAGAGCAGAACAATAAAACAATGATTATAATTTCCTTAACAACAATATAACAAATGTTCAATAAATGTTTGATTTAATTCATTTGAATAACGAACAAATTAGCATTTCATTCTTCCATTAAGATGTTTATTTTCTGAAATAACGTTTGCTTATTAGTTTTGAATGTTCTCCCTCAGATTTGTTAAGTGATCCACTGTTTGTCATCAAGTGTTTGTTCTGACCATGAAGAAAAGTTTAAAACCACAGTTAAGAGCTTTCACTCAGGAGCAAAAAAAAAACAGCCTTTAAACTTGAAAGAAACAATGATTTCACATTTATTGTGATAATTATCGATATCGAATGATATGAAATTTGGCCACATCGCCCAGGCCTATAATTAAGTCATCAATTCACAGTAGCGGCCTTTATTTAAAGACGCTACACACTTAACCTCTCTCTGAATGATGTCATTACAAAGATAAATGCGTTGAAGAAAACATTTTACTACCACAAATGAAAGTATGAAGCACCTGAATGAAAACCAGTAGGGACGATAAGGCCTACAGTTAAGTAGTTCAGTTCTTCCCAGCGGTTAATTACCAATTAAAAAATAACAAATGTCTAAAATCATCTGAAACACAAATTGACACACAACAAATTTTAATGGTGTTTGTTAAAAATCACATACAAACACACATTTACAACTAACAACCAAACCTGAGCCTTAACCATTAACCACGAGGGGCAACAGTGAGGTTAATGATTTAGAGGGGAGGGAAATACTATTTGATGAGTGAAGAGACTTTAAGACAGTACTGGTCCCGTCTTTCTGCTCCGTTCTGTTGACCTACCGCAGGTGGGGCCAACCTGCCAGACTGCCTCACAGAGACACATCTCACACATTCAACCTTCAATTAATTTAACGATACCATTGTTGAAAAGTCATTTAACTGACTGGACAGACAGAACTGAAACTTAAAGCTGGAGCGCAAGACTTCATAAATGAACGTCCATTACATTCAAGCCCTCGCCGAAACAAGTTCACACAACGCTGATTAAGCCTCTCACTGCTACGGCTGCAACTAACGATTATATTCATTATTTTAGCTGTAAGGTCCAGATAATGGTGGAAAGTGTCGATCAATGTGTTTTCACATACAGTGGGGGAAATAAGTATTTGACCCCTTGCTGATTTTGCAGGTTTGCCCACTTACAAAGAATGCAACAATCTACAATTTTAATCATATGTACATTCTAACAGTGAAAGACAGAATCCCAAAGAAAATTCCAGAAAATCACATCATATGAATTTATAAAAATTGATAACCATCTGATGAGGAAAAACAAGTATTTGACCCCCTACCAAACAGCAAGTATTCTGACTCCTACAAGCCAGTTAGTCTTTCTTTAAGACACAGCCCCAATCCCAACCAATTATCTACATCAAATACACCTGCCTCACCTCGTTACCCGTATAAAAGACACCTGTCAACACCCAAACAACCAGCATCCAACATCACCACCATGGGCAAGACCAAAGAGCTTTCTACGGACATCAGGGACAAGATTGTTGATCTGCACAAGGCTGGGATGGGCTACAAGAGAATCGGAAAGCAACTTGGAGAGAAAAGATCAACTGTCGGTGCAGTTATCAGGAAATGGAAGAAGCACCACACCACCGCCAACCTCCCTCGGTCTGAGCCTCCACACAACATCTCGCCTCGTGGGGTGTCCCTGATCATGCGAACGGTGAGGAATCATCCCAAAACCACAAGGGGGGAACTGATGAATCAACTGAAGGCAGCTGGGACCACAGTTACAAAAGAAACGGTTGGTAACACACTACGCCATCATGGATTGAAATCCTGCAGCGCACGCAAGGTCCTCCTGCTCAAGAAGAAACATGTACAGGCCCGCATGAAGTTCGCCATTCACCACCTGGACGACTCAGAAGAGGCCTGGAAGAAGGTGATGTGGTCAGATGAGACCAAAATAGAACTTTTTGGCCTCAACGCAACTCGTCGTGTTTGGAGGGCAAAGAACACCGAGTACAACCCAAAGAACACCATCCCCACCGTCAAGCATGGTGGTGGCAACATCATGCTTTGGGGGTGCTTTTCAGCCAAGGGGACGGGACAACTCCATCGTATTGAGGGGAGGATGGACGGGGCCATGTATCGTGGAATTCTGGACCAACATCTCCTTCCCTCAGTGAGAGAGCTGAAGATGGGTCGAGGATGGGTGTTTCAGCACGACAACGACCCTAAGCACACCGCCAAAGCAACAAAAGAGTGGCTGAAGAAGCACATCAAGGTTCTGGAGTGGCCTAGCCAGTCTCCAGACCTGAATCCAATTGAAAATCTTTGGAGGGAGCTTAAAATTCGAGTTGCCAGGCGACAACCTCGGAACCTGAATGATTTGGAGGCTGTCTGCAGGGAGGAGTGGGCCAACATCCCTGCCGAAATGTGCACAAACCTTGTCACCAACTATAAAAACCGTTTGACATCTGTGCTGGCCAATAATGGCTTTTCTACAAAATATTAACATGCTGTTTGTCCAGGGGGCCAAATACTTGTTTTTCCTCATCAGATGGTTATCAATTTTAATAAATTCATATGATGTGATTTTCTGGAATTTTCTTTGGGATTCTGTCTTTCACTGTTAGAATGTACATATGATTAAAATTATAGATCGTTGCATTCTTTGTAAGTGGGCAAACCTGCAAAATCAGCAAGGGGTCAAATACTTATTTCCCTCACTGTAGCCCAAGGTGACGTCCTCAAATGTCTTCTTTTGTCCACAACCCAATTCAGTTTACTGTCACAGAGGAGGAAAGAAACCAGAAAATATTCACGTTTGAAAAGCTGGAATTGGAGAATTTGGACATTTTTTTTTATTTAAATAAGGAGAACTCAAAGCGATTAATCGATAATTACAATAGTTGACAACTAATCGATTAACTAATTGTTGCAGCTCTAATCACTGCCAGGTAAATATCTCCGTATTTGCAGTATGACAGAGTTTTTAAATATGGTGTCTGTGGAAACATTACCGCGCTGGCGTTCACTTCAGGTCTACTTTACTAAACTGTCTTGGCGTTAACGGGAGAAAAAGTCAAATGAAAAGCTTCTCTTGAAATTCACTGATGTCCTGGCCAACAAAGACAACCAAAACAAAACCAGTATTTATCTTCTGGAGCAGACTTCATCGGTCATCTGAAGTAAAGCACACTCTTCTTTATTTACTTTTATAGATTAATCTCTTACTCTGTGAACATTTTCATCCCAAACAAGAAATCATTGAACTCAGAGAGAAATCTTGATTATACACAACAACAGCTAAACTAACAAGCTTGTCAAGGTCCTTGATCGTGGTCTTGATTAAAAGCTTCACCCTGAACTCAATAAATATGCTGTCTATAATCATCTGAAACACAAATTGACACACAACACAAACAGTAACCTTTCCAGCAGATCAGTTGAACTGTTAAAACCATTATTCTGCACCTCACACACACCTGCCTTAACTTATTCAGGTGCCTTTATATAAAGTGAACCCAATGCTGCACTTTTAGTTGAGTCAAATGTGACATCAGGAGCTTTACTGTCAATAGAAACACTGTTTTCTGTAAGTCTCTGTTGCTGGTGGTGCAGATGTGACCACACAGGACGTTTTCTCATTAAATTAAAAAGGTCGTCCTCTTGAACTTCTACTGTTTAAACACCCTTTAAGCGGCGCATCACTTGTGTGAAGTGAAAACTGTCTCATTATCTCAGTACTAGTTTCGTTTTCAGCTTCATGTTCACTCATTGTTTACAAATACAGGCTCGCTATATCAGGGAAGCTAACCTCAGCTAGCTGGTGGTCAGCAGCTCCGACGGGAGGATTCAAATCTGAGCTCTGTGTAGGTTTCACCATCTGACAGTTTAACGGGACAGGAGCTGTCACTTACCGAAAAACTAAAATCTTCAGAAACGCAGATGAACGCCCCGGTTCTTGTAGTTTAGCTACGCTGTCCTGCAGGACGCCATGTTGGGGGGAAAACGTGTCACGTGACCTCTGGTGTTTTTCCCGCCTGTGGTTGGACTGTACCAACGAGCCGACTGTGGACTGTACCACCTCTGTGTCAGACAAAATGAAATACCAGATTTAACTTGAAGATTGTACCATTTTGAGAATTAAGTTAAATGTCGAGCATACAGTTGATTGACAAGAGTAAAGGGTAAGTATAGTGATGGCCAAATGAAACATTATTGATTCCCGACACAATAAAATGGTTCAGTACTCGAATGCACCATCTGCTGGTGAAGATGTAGCCTAATGCAACAAAGCTGACAACCACAAAATGCAAAATTGCGATCCTCATTTCAGCCTTAATTTTAAACTGGCAGAATGTAAAATATCAAGATAAAAACATAAAACATCCTAACAAGTGTATGTTACATCAAAACAAAAGTGCATTCCCCTAACATCAAGCCCGTTTCAAGTCTATGCAAGCTAATTTAAATGAATGTTAATGGAAGTCAATGGCTGCTAAGAAAGTTAGATTTCTTTTTTTAAAAACACAAGCCTGTGTGAACAGTAAGTGTGTAGTAAATGGGTACTCTTTAAACTCCTGTATTTCTTAACCTTTTTTAAACGTTTAGGAACCATGATGTTGAATAAATTCAAACAAGTTGCATGAATTCAATTTTAATACAAATAAATTCTTTCACAAATGTACCCAGCACACTAGCAGCTATAAATGCTGCTAAATCATCTTTCTACCCGTCTGTAAGCATAGAGCCGGTTATTGTTTGAATATTTTCAATAACTTACTTTTGGTACAGATACCAAAAAAGTTATTCAGTGTTTTCTAAATACAAGCAGGCGTACAAGAATTTTGTTTAAATAAAAAAACTCACATTGCAAAATTTGGATTTAAATCAGGAACTAACTGATCAAAGAATCTGCTATGGACACATTTGGTCTGTACCAATAAAGTATTTAGGTTTGATACGCAGCCAAGTTTCTGACCATTCGATCTTATATTTGGTTCATTAACAGTGTGTATGAATTAATATTTCTGAAGGAAAGAGTGCGTACTCTGCTGGGACAGTCACTGTTCATCCCACCACATATTTTGTGTCCGTGAGGTTGAATACATGCTAACGTTTGCCACCGTGCCGTCCTCGCTAGTGTGCGTACTCTAGGGTACTGTGAAGCACTTTGGTGTAACAAAAGCCTCCAACGAACAGTAGACGTGTCCATTCACTTATTCAGAGCTAAACTGTCCAGAGGCACAGCAACAACACATTTCAAACAAGTAAAACTGCTTTTTTTAATCGCTGCCACTGTCACTGTCGTCATCCTCCTCCTCCTCCTCCTCCTCTTCCTCTTTGTCCTCCTTCTTTTCCGTTTCCTCTACAAGTCCTGCGAAGAAATCATTTTCTCCAAAGGCTTTCTTGGTGAGAGACTTCATTCGGCCGTCTTTCTTCTTCCTCTTGCGGTATTCGTTGACAGTCGTGTTAGGTAAACTGGAAATGTCCCAGAACTTGATGAGCTGGTCGTGGGCGCTGCTGGCCAGGAAGCGGGAGTCCCAGGACTTGGCGAGCTCTTCGATGGGCTCCCCGACGTGCTGCCCGATGCAGCCGATGACCCGGTTGGGAAGGAGGTTGACGGCTCTGATGGAAGACAGACAGAATTTCACATTACAACATATTACTAGCTTACTGTGTGTGGAAAAACACGTTACAACAAATAAGGAGGTCCAGAGCAAACTAACAGGCAACAAATTTGGCTGATCGGTCCCAGGTTGGTGGCTAAGCTAATAAAAGTGTGGATATATGAAGGTAATTATCTGAAAGGTAAGTGGCAGATGCAGTGATGGCCTCTACTGTGGTGTCCAAAAAAAAACAACATTTGGAAGTTAGATGGTTTTAAAGAGGGGGTATTATGCTTTTTGGCATTTTCCCCCTCTCCTTTATTGAGTTATATATCTTTTTGTGTGCATGTAACAGGTTTGCAAAGTGAAAAAGCCCAAAGTCCAGCTCAAAGGGATATAGAATAGAAAGAATATTCACTATTCACTGCATCATCATTGCTGCACCAGACAGAGGCCAACAACAGAAAGTTTTATATTTTACAGTTTTCGTATGTAATTTCATCACTAAATCCACTTCTGGGAAGTTTTGAGGTGAGAAATCTGCTGTGAGGATTTTGAATATTGACAGTTTTACGAGAAGTGATGGCGGAACAAAAATGTGCTTGAATATTTTCATCTGCAATGGAAAACGGAGCAGGGCCGAGTAGAGTCGAGTCTATCGATTTGCGCTATGGTAGCATTTTTCGGCAAGGCAGCATAGATCGTCAGAACACCGGCAACAGTTCAACGTTTAGTCCTAAAAGACGATGCAACTCCGACTCTGTTTGGGCCTGGAAATTCACAATCATAATGTAAATATGCTTTATTGGTTGTGAATTATATTTAAAATAAACACGGCAATGTAACTTCACAGACTGTTCAAGTGCGTGAGTGAGTTGTTGTAGACGTTGGCTAACAGCTAAAGTTATAGCTATAATACTAATGTTACACCTGATGTGAAAGCTACTGAGCAAACGTTCAAATTGTTTGGCCAATTTTTATGTAAAATTGAGTTGAAATATGGTGATTTTTGTAGTGGTTTATGGTAAAATGTGGAACAATGATGTTGTGTGGTTGTGGACTTGTGAGTAACTTATACCATCTGCTAGGTTACGGTCTCAGTCTGAAGCAGCTTTGATCTTTATCAAACTACCTTGTTTCTTACGACTCGCCCTTCTCTGCTTCTGATTGGCTAGTAGTCCTTACCTGGAAACTGCGCATGTGCAACTCCCAACAAAGATTTTGAACAAGTAAGATGCATCAATCTGTAGCTCAAGAGCGGAGCGTACAAATACACATAAGGTGAAAAGAGGAGCTGCAGCAATGTGCAGTATGAGAAAAATATGGTGTTTTTTGAAAATTAAACCATGTAAACCCCTAAATAAGATTTTGAACCTGAAAATGAGCATAATACCACCTCTTTAAATCAATGCTTTTAGAAAACAGCCAGCAATCGCAATGGTAACCCAACTCACCGAATGTACCCGTCCATGGAGGCCGTGCACATGATGTTGTCGGTGATGGGGACGATGCACTCCACCGACTCGGCCTTGATGGCGAAGCGATCGCTGGTGGCTCCAAAGCCGTTCCAGTTGAAGATGTAGATGGTCCCCTCGCTGGAGCCGCAAACCACCTTCCTGCCCCGCTTCATCAGCACCACCGAGGTCAGATCGCCGCTCTGGTACTCCGACAGCAGGTCGAACCTCCGCCTCTTGATGTTGAAGACGCCCATGGTACCATCACCACTGTTTCAGATTATATTAAATGAAATTAGAGCTTGGATTAAAGTAGACCAATTACAAGGACTTTCTGATGTGCAAAGAGTTGTTCATTGGTTGGCATTACATTCACAAGCTACACCAGAAAAAGACATTTAATCACCAAGCTGTTTCTTCCAAGAAAAGGTTTGACATTTGGTGGTTGAAACTGAAATCTCAAATGTTGAATCGCCCTTTAAAGCATCAAGAAGCGGGTGAGTTTTCAACATTTTACCTACCTAAATCTTTTCTGGATGGATTAAGAATTTTAACAAAGCTTAGCACCTCTGAATGTTTTACGCATACTGAAATTAATTAATAACAGCTGGCTTCTTCAGAGAAAAGAAGTCAATCTAAAAAACCGACGGCCAGCCATAATTTTAAGTATGCAATTTATGCCAACACAGAAGTGCCATAAGCTGCAATTCATCGAATGAGGCTGCATTCAAAAGCAAATCAATCCCCACAGACCTTCATGTTAAAATGCCAACCTTTACAGCAGAAACTCGCTCTAACTGAGGTCTAACACATTCATGGCTGCGCTCCATTGACTCGTAAAATACTGTAAAATACTTCGTTTTCTAGCTTTTTTTCCCCCAAGATATGGTCAAACGCTGTTTCTGGGTCTTTTGTAATAGTTACAGTCGCTACCCAGAGAAGTTGAAAGGAGAAGCACGATTTATTCTCTCTCCAAAACCTAAAACAAATCCAGAAAAATGTTGGCTGTGTATTGCTCCTAATGTAATGTTAGTTGGCTAATGCTACGTTATAAAGCCCTACTGTTCTGCTTTTTAATGATTGTAATAGTGAACAGAGACCCATCGTTACCCAGCTGTACAGGAACAGTGTTGATCCTTAATATCGTTGTCCTCTTTCTCAATAGTCACTAATAATACGGTGCTTCACTGTTACTCTGTGATCGGTAGGCTTCAGCGTTTAACAGCCTAAAAACGACCTTCAACTGCACAATGCAACTGCTTCTTTCTGAGATCACTATTTTTCAAATTAAGGGAGGGACGCTTTGAGTGACAGGTGGGTGTGTGGCAAAAAGATGCAAAAACTCCCTAATGACCTGATAATCACAACTTTACCTGGCAGTGAGTAGGATCCTCTTGGCCTGGTCCACAGTGATGTCACTGATGTAATCCTCGTGGTGTTTCATATCCATGATGGCCGTCCCCTTCCTCATGTCCCACACCTTCAAAAAGAAACATCAATAAAGTTAGAGCTTGGGGACGGAAAATTAGCTTCTTCTATAAAAAGAAATCATTGCGAGCCAAATTTGAATCATGACCATCACAGACGATCTCAATCATCAACCAGCAAAGTTAGACCTGGACTAATTATAGTGGAACAGATATGATCGTATCATTAAGATTTCATCACTGTCACCATTCGACAAAACTGGAGTTTGTCGAATTAAAATACCACCAGTCTGGACCACGGGAGATATGCTTAGACTATTTAAAGACCACCTTGGTCTCTTTAATACAGTTAAAACAAAAGATCTACTTTGGACCATAAAAGACCCTCTTACATTATTACAAAACCAAAATATAAGCGTGGCCCATAAAAAAGACCAGCTTAGACCATCACAAGGTCTGTTGTACCAACAAAGACCATCTTACATCATGAAAAAACAAGCTGGGAACATCAAAAACATCGGCTTGGATCATTGGAAGATGGTAAGACATGGTTACAGCAGCTTTGACCATTAAAACACCTTTAAAATCCATCACAACATCAGCTTGGACCAGTGGAAGACTAGACCATTGAGACCATTGTGAGACATGGTTAGACAATTTACAAAGCGGCTTTGGCCATTAAAACACCTTTTAAGACCATCACAACATCAGCTTGGTCCATGTAAAGACCAGCTAAGATCAATTAAAGACCACATTAGACCACCAAAAGACCAACTAGCCCTTTAGAGACATGCTTGGAACTGTTTTGGGAAACCAGTTCAGACAATCAAAATACCAACTTGGACCAGTAAGACCAGCATGGATCAAGTTTTGTCATGAAAAGACCACATTGGACCAGCTGGACGTTTTGTCTGGACAACACATCTTATAAAAACAGCTTGTCTACACTTGTCCCGGACCTTGAGGGTGCCCCCGTCGTCTCCTGTCGCCAGGATGTTTTCATCCACCAGCAGCAGACTGTTGATGGGGGCCCCGTGCGCCCCGCGGATCCTCGTGACCAGCTGTCCCCGCTCCGCGTCCAGCATGTGGACGGCCTTGTCCCGGGAGACGCTGTACAGCTTCAGTCCGTCCGCGGAGAAGCGCACCTGGCGGCACGACTTCATGTGGTGTCCGGACGACCACAGCTCCCGGTTCTCCCCCTCCGTGCACGAGTAGGAGTAGGCGTACACGTCCCCGTCCACGTCCCCGCACACCAGGATGTCCCTGCTCGGGTGGAGCGCCACCGTGTTGGCGATCGCCTCCAGTCGGATGTCCTCCGGGGTGTCTCGGATCTTCGGCCCGGGCGGCTCGCCTTCGTCCTCGTCTTCGTCATCATCCGGGTCTGGGTCCTGGCCTGTCTGTTCCGAGTCTGAGGTTTCTGGGTCTCTGGTGATTTCTGGAGGATCTGGATCTGTGGATGCGGTTTCAACGTGTTCTGTGGACGCTGCCATGTTGTTTGCGTCCTTTCTTCTTCTACGGTGAATAACGGCAGCGTTACCGGAGAAACAGGGTCTTCTTCTTCTTCTTGTTTCCGGCTGACTAGACGCATCTGTGGCGTATTGCTGCCCTCCTCTGTTCGTTATTCACATCTTAAAGCTAATTGCTGAGATCCTTTCCTATAAACCAGTTTTATGTAGGTACTGCATAAAATATAGGTCAACATTGGGATCTGGGATCAACCATGAAGGTATATCTGAACGAGAGGAACAGGTCATACTGCCCTCTACTGTATTTATACATAAACATTTAGTACTGTAAGTACAATTTGAGGTACTTGTACTTAACTTAGAGTATTTCCATATGTTTGACTTTATACTTCTACTACATTTCAGGGGGAAATATTGTACTTTTTACTCCACTACATGTATTTATTTGTTATTGTCCAGATTCAAATTATTAATGCAAAATATAAATCAACATATATATATATAATAAATAATGTATTATTTTAGATTAAGCTACTCCACAGTAAAATAGCTGAAATTAGCTCGTTCAGTAATGAGTCAATAATAAATAGGCTATTTTTCAAAATGAGTACTTTTAATTTTTGGTAATATTTTGAAACTAATATTTCAGCACTTTTGCTTAAGTAAGATTTGGAAGACATGATTTTTTACTTTTAAAGGAATAAACTAATTTAGTAATAATACAAATGCAAATAGTAAATAAATACATTTGTTGAAAATGTAGTGCTGTTACAAAATAATAGCATTATATATACAAACAGAAACAACCTTTAAGTCGCGCTGCAAAGTTAGGGAGGTGTAGTATTGGTCTTTCTTCCAACCCCCTCTTTCAGTAACAGTGACGGAATAAACAAAGTACATTTATTTGTATTTAACTCGAGTACTTCCATGTTTTTGACTTTATACTTCTACTGCATTTCAGATGGAAATATTGTACTTTTTACTCCACTAGACTTATTTACTTGTTACTTTTCAGATTCAAATTATTAATGTGAAAAATAAATAAACTAATATACAATAATGTATTATTATGGATCAAGCTACTCCACAGTATAGAAAGTAGTTCGTCCTTTACATGTGTAACATTACTAAAGCATACCCATTAATGAGCGAATAATTATAATCAAGTGAAAATTGTTAATGTAAATAACTGTAAATATTTGCACATGTAAATTTGATGTAAACTTTTTGGTATATCACTTCACTGCCATATTTCACGTCCTCTCCCTCTGTGATACGTTTGCACAACACAAATCTGCAGTAATGCACATGTAAATAACTGCCACGTTGTTTTGTTTTTCTTTTACACATAGTTCTAAAAAATATTATAACTTGCACATCTGTTTATTCCATATATACATTTTTTATGTATTTATGTCTACTCTATGTTTATGTCTAGCAATTCCTTGTATGTGTAAAATACTACTTGAAAATAAACATCTTTCTGATTCTGATTCTGAAAATAAATATTATTCTGAAATGAAAAACGAGTACTTTTATTTTTGGTTATATTTTGATGCAAATGCTTTTGCACTTTTGCCTAAGAAAGATTTAGAAGACATTTTGTTTACTTTTAGGAAGGAATAAACTAACTGGAAATTAAGTAAAATTAGTCCTCACAAAATAATATTAAATATGCAAAGAGAAACAACCTTTAAGTCATGCTGCAAAACAATTATCCACCGTCTTCCAATATCCAAATCCCTCGCTTATTTAATAACTTAAATTTACAATTTACAGTGTTACGTATCGATATTATTATTCTTCTGTACTGTATTGTATTTTATTTTAATTGTTCTGTTTCTTCTTGTAATGTATTTTAACCGTGCTGCCATCTTGGCCTCCCTTGCAAAAGAGATTCTACCTCTAAGGGTACTTTCCTGTTACAATAAAAAGATTAAATAAAAATAAATAAAAAGAATCATAATAATCATCACTATTATTACAGCTTTACTGTGAATATACAGTGCAGGACTGTACAACAATGCCACACACAGAAAATGTATGAATGAGTCAATGATTTTAAATGATGATAGAATAGAAAAAAAAATTGCAAAAGAAAATTGGACAAGGTGCATTTGACATTTTTTTAAATATTTTTTTTCCTAGAAAAAATCTAATTTCTTTTCCATCCACAGAACAACCTACGTTGAAATTAATATGCCTTAACACCATTGGCCGGATAGCCAGCCAATCCGAAGTTAATGCGGAAATGACATATGGACGCCAAAGATGGCGTCAGATTCAAACGGCTCTTGGGTTCGTTTCGCTGTAAGTGTTTATAAAAGTTCACTACAAGCTGTTTACAAACTTTCTTATTAATGTTGTCATGTAAGTAGATGGCTTAGACCCTCTCGTAATGGTTAAGTTTGGTTTAGAGCGAATGAAGATATTAATGTAGAGTTTTAACCGTGAAACGGGTCTTTGTTCAGGCTGGATGCTCGTATACGAACATAATTCCATTCACGAAATGTGAGAATTTAATTTTGTCTTGTTGACTGACCAAAGTGTAGATATGTTATACAACTATTTGAACGTCCAGCGAATAGTTACAGCTTTCTGGGGAATTCGGCATATAGTAGATCTACCAAGCAGCACGCAATATTAGTTTAATGTCAGCTATAAATTGTTGAGACAGTTGTTAAATGCCGCCGCCCACCGCCCAGAACTGTACAGTAAAGATCGTGAATCTTTGAAATTATGCGTAAATCAGCGGTTTTTTGTATTGTTGACTGGAGCCGAATTGTAAAATTGATCCGATTGATTCGTAAATGGTCTTACGTCTTGTTGTGAAAAGTGTAACTGGGGCGATATTAAGGTGAGTATTTACCAGATAGATTTTTAAATGGGGATCGATTTTCGCTTTAGGTTGAGTGCGTCCGCTGGCAAGGCAACAACCAGCTTCCCCTGGTACCAAAACAACCTCCAGGGTCTCTGCTGTTTGTCAGCAGTCACACGAAATACAGAATAATTAACTTGTTAAATCGGGTAAAGGTTTTAATTTTAGATGTGACGTTAGCTAAGAAAATAACACCTTTTATTATTTGTTGTTTGGTTAAATCGCCGCATATCCGGAATAATGTGAATTTGAAATACATTTTCAGAGTTGTTAAAGTAAACACAGAAGCGGAGCCATGCAGACCGAAGCAGCGGAGCGGAGGGGACAGCGCAGCCGCAGCAGGCGGGGGGAGAGCGGGCAGGGCCGAGCAGAGGCGCGGGGGACCAAACCGAGGGCCGCGGTCCACTCTGCCAGGAGCTCCGAGGAGGAGACAGCAAGGTGGGGAATAAAAAAGAATCCAGCTACACAGAAACTCTTTTCTGGCCAGTGATGATATGCGCAGAGGTTTTTGGCAAGGGGGGGAAATGCTTTCAAATATAGAGATATTTATCATTAACAAAGAGAGGGAACAGAAGAAAAATCTAAATCAAATACATATTTGATGTGACCACCCTTTGCCTTCAAAACACCTGCCTAAAACCTTTCCACCTTACGGTAAATATCTATGCCGTTACTACTTTAACTGCTGAAAGTGCTACATTGCTGCTACTGCAACATATACTATAAATAAATACAATTTAAGTATGTTTAATGTGCACAATGTCATGTAATCTGAAGGATTATGTGGATGTACACATTCTGAAATATTACAAGTTGTCATCCAATATCTGCTGGTGAAGATCCTGTTTAGTTAAGTATTTACATCTTTTCTGACGTGTCCTACTTCAACATATGCCCACAAAATATCAGTTCAGCTCACTGGTTATGTTTTGAAACTCAGCTGTTGAGTTAAAAAAAACACACACGTGTGCCTTTTCAGGTTGAAAGAGATCCCTGCCATCAGGCAACAAAAAGAGAATCAGGCAGGAGAGCGAGGGAGAAGAGCCGAAAGGGAAGGAGTGGAAGATGAGGAGCGAGACAGAGCAGCAGAGAGGGACCGGAGCCGAGGAGATGGAGGGAGGAGGAGGGAGAGGGAGGCGAGAAGCAGGAGGGCGGCGTCCGAAGGAGGTGAAGAAGGCGAGCAGTCGGAGAGGCTGAGGTGGAGAGTCCATCAGCTGGAGAAAGAGAAACTGGGGCTGACGAGCAGCCACAACCAGGAGGTGAGACACAGAGAGCTGGACCTTACATTATTTATGACTATGTGATTTGGTGTTTTGCAATTAATTTTTTTTTTAATACAAAATAAGCAAAGGAGAGGTAACAAATTAATCAGTGAGCTTCGGAGGTGCTGGTAAGTGGGGTGTTTTCCATTCAGACAGAGCCAGGCTAACTTTTCCCCCTGTTTCCAGTCTTTATGCTAAGCTAAGCTAACCAGCTGATGGCTGTAACTTCATATTCACTGCACAGACAAGAGAGAAGGATCGATCTTCCCAACTAACGCTCGCCAGGAGGTATCCCCCCCCCCCAAAGGCCAAACTGTTCCTTTAATTTGTCCCCTGTGGAGTGCAAACCGTGCTGTACGCTGCAACCACAAGCAGCTGCAAAGGCCTGATGAACATTTTCTGACAAGTATCCTTATATAAAAAAATGTGAGCAAGCTCTGTAGTGAGCAAGACATTTTACAGACCAACTTGTCAGTGCCCTCTGGTGGAGAAACTCTGTAAGTGGGACACACAGTTTGTTTGTTATACTGATGCATGGAGACCGGATCAGACAGAGTAGACGTGTTAAGTCATAATTGGTTGCTGCATCGATGTGTTATTAGTGTTTCCCTTCCTCAGCTCTGCAGGCTGCAGGCTGAGCTGACCCGGCTGAGGTCCTCAGTGGAGCGAGGAGAAGCGCAGCGGGTGGAGCTTCAGTACCAGCTGACTGTGAGCCGGAGAGACGCCGACCGGGCCTCCGAGCTCAGCAGAGACAAACGCACACTAACAGGTACACGAATCAAACACACCCTCCAAGTGCTGCGGTGGGTAACGGTGTCAATAAGAGTACCAGTAGAAATGATAGTAAGACTCTGTCGTGTGTGTGTCAGAGCGAGCAGCTGAGCTCCAGCAGACCGTTCAGGAGCTGCAGAAAGCTCTGGACATCACCCGACAGGCCAGGGAGGAGGACCAGCATGCTTTGCAGCAGGAGGTGGAGGAGCGCGACAGACTGATTCAGAGCTTCAGCTCGGAAAACCAGCGGCTGCACCAACTGCTGCAGGTAACACACACACACATTTAGGATTAGGAGTGAGCTCGGTTTAATTCACATGTTGTTTTTAATTTAACTTTGGAGGAAGAAGTGAATCTGGGTCTAAACTAAAGGTTTGTCCTTTAGGATCACGAGGAGGCCCTGCAGGAGTCTGAGAGGAGGATGGTGGAGGTGCAGCAGGAGAGAGAGAAGGAGGCCGAGGTGAACAGACGACAAGCCAACGAACTGAAGTACCTGACGGAGAGAGAGGAGAGGAGCAGGAGAGACCGGGAGGTGAGGAGGAGGAGGGAGGGTGGAGAGAGAGAGATAAGGAAGCTGAAGAGGAGGAGATGGAGGTGAAGACATTTATTTTCTTTCTCTCCAGCTGTCAGATCAGAGGGTGAAGTCTCTGGAGTCGAGCGTCGAGGCGGAGCGAGCGGCTCACCTGGAGTCCAAGTTCAACTCTGAGATCATCCAGGTGACACACAGTTTCTAAATGCTTCTTCTAAGTCTCTGTTCTTCGTCTCGTCATTAAATCTCATGTTTGGACTTAAACCAGCAGTGAACGTATCTACTGACAGTTCCAGAAACCATTAAAACCCATCAGTGAGCCTCACTGTTGTGTCCTCATCACCATGAACTCTCACACTGTATATTTATTCTGACTCAGTCCCACATTCGCCGTCCTGCTGCCCCAAACAAAGCGCCACATGTGGGTTCATCCACCGCTGAAAATGGTCCCCAACAAATGGGCTATTTGATTCTGAGTGTTTGAATAAAAGTACAGTGAGCAGCTCTTTTAGGAAATCACTATATAACTATTTATTTGTGAGGTGTTTTTAAAGCTTTACATTTTCAGTAGAAACCAGTGGGCCTGTAGCCGCAGGCAGGAAGTCGAACATGCACATGAGATTTGTTGACATTAAATAATAGAGAATAAGACCAGCTGTGTCAGAGCGTCGGCTCTATTTTAAGCACTTATTTCCAAGTACAGAACTTGTAAAGCGTTACTAAAAGAAGTTATACAGAATGTGTTAATGAACCGTAGCTAATATACATTCTCTGTGTGATCGGATGACCCGGCAGCTGCGTGTGCGGGACTTGGAGGCGGCGCTGGCGTCGGAGCGGTCCGGCCAGCAGGAGGCGCAGTGCAGCCTGGAGCTGCTGAGAGCTCAGTTCAGAGAGGTGGAGAGGGCCTACAGCCTGGAGAGAGAGAGGGGCGACGGCACTGAGCGCGCTCTGCAGCGGTGAGCGTGATCCACAACCTTTTCTTTTGACCATCTTTTAATAATGTGTTTTAGTCTTTTTGAAATGTTCACCGATGTGAAAGACAAACGTTGAGATCACAAACAACAACTTCACAGTTTGTTTCTTCCTACTGTTTGGACCAAACTATTCCTTTTTGGAGCATGTTATGGTCTTTCTATATTTATAAGTTAATACTAAATTTCTCTGTCACAATATTGCAAATTACGTTATTCTTTTTAATATTAAACCATTAGCAGATCACGTAGCACGTAGCACATATATTATTTATCATTGTCTCTGAATTAGATTTGAGGTCCTTTTGTGTTTCTGTAGTGAAATTTAAATAACGATTTAAATATATTTGATATATAAATATAAAAAGTTTTACTTGACAACTTTTTCATTAAAGTATTTAGTTTGTTTTAGTTTATTTCATATAATTTGTTTCAATGTAATTATTTAATATAGTAGAAATATGTAATATTCCATATTAAAATGTTTTTGTACATATTATACACATTTGTAGTTGTTTCAGTTCACGTGTCATGTATTAATTTATGTGTGCTAATATTAATATGTGTGTTTCAGGTTCTTATATCTCAGTCCCCACAGGTACAGACGGCATTTTGAGGGTTAAGACTTGGTTTTAGGGTTCAGGTTACAGTTGGTTAGGGGTGTAACAAAAGTGTGTGTGTGTGTGTGTGTGTGTGTGTGTGTGCAGGTTGCAGAAGGAGTACGATCAGTGCAAGTCTGACCTGAGTGTTGCCTTGGAAACTGAGAAGAAAACGAGCTCTGACCTCTCAGAAAGGCTGGAGGAGGAGAAGAGGCGGCACGCCGACACACACACACTGCTGGAGAAGGTAACACACACACCCTCAGTGGGAATAACGTTTGTGATTTGAGTGAACTGACCCTTTAATCCTTATTTCTTCTTCTGTGGTTAGGCGGCTCAGAGGCAGTCGGGCGCAGAGGAAGCCTTTGTGAACTGTGTGGATCAGATCAGAGAAACACTCCAACAACACAGCACCCCAGGTAAACACACCACACACACCTGCTGCAAACAACTGCAGCGCTATCAGAAGGTAAATAACACAAGGTGTGTGTGTGTGTGTGTGTGTGCGTGTGTGTGCAGGCACTAGTCCTGGAGCAAAGGATCATGAGAACCGGAGTCAGTCTGCTGAAGTCCTGCAGCTGCTGAAGACGACACTTTGCACCTACCGACACACACTGGAAAAGACTGACAAACAGGTACACACAGACAAACACACACACAGACTCTGCTCGCTGTGTGTCTCTTCTGTATTTCTGTTACTTCCTGCTGTGCTTTCTCCTGGCAGGTCCAGGATCTGCTGTTTGCATCGGAGAGGCTGCAAGAGGAGAACCAGACTCTCCGTCAGCTGACCTCAGAGCAGAGCCAGCAGGTCGAGGTAAACGTCTGATCCCAGACCAGCCCGGGAAAGAAGAAGCTTTTAGAACGACCGGTCTCACTCTGTCTCCGTCTGCCCTCTCCAGGAGTCGCTGCAGGCGGCGATCAAACTGGGGGAGGAGGTGACGCGCCTTCGCCAGGAGAGCTCTGATTGGTCGACGCAGAGCCGAGTTCTGCGGGCCGAGCTGGAGAAAGAGAGGGAGGAGAGGGAGACACAGAGGGAGGAGAGGGAGAGAGAGAGGGAGACAGAGAGGGAGGAGAGGGAGAGAGAGAGGGAGGAGAAGACAGCAGAAGTCCAGAAGATAACTGAGCACTACCAGAAAGAGTCACAGGTGATTATACGCTTATTATTCAGCTCTCATTCTCATTTCCAGCTGTCCCATTTAGGTCCCTTTATTCTATGTATTTATTTATTGGTGGGTCAAAATATATTTATGAATTGTACATAAATCCTAAGGAGGCTGGTGTGGTGAACCTCTTGTAACGTCCTGAATATTTACTTATTTATTTAATATTCAGGTACCATAAACACTGATCACTGTAAATGTGTGTCAGTGTTATCAGCCACTAAAACAACAATGAAACGCAACAACATAAGTTTTAGTACAAAACAAAACACGTAAAGTCAGACCGAGACGACATCAGAATGAAGGACACAAAGGTAAGCGCGCAGTGACTTTGTGATGGCAGGTTATTTAAGATCATATTCTAAGGAATAATATAAAACGGGTAGCTCAAATCAAGCAATCTGATTGGTTCATAGTAGTGATATAATGAGCGTACACAACGGGTATAACGTCAAATTCCTTTGCACAGATCCGTATCACTCTGCTACGAACAGGGTTCGAGTTATAATCTGAGCTTCGTGGGGGTCTCACGCCACATTTACACCTGGTATTAAAATGCGATCTGATACAGACTGCATTTTACCGACGGAGGGAAATAAATAAATTAATAACAAGAGTGAGAGAGAAATCATTGCTTATTACGTGATTCAACATTTCCCTATCTCACACACACAAAAACGCGCGCACACACACACAAACTCAGCAGTCCACCACTTGCCCCAGATGTCTGCGATATTGTAAGTTTAAGTTTCAATAGCCTGTGCAAAAGACTATTGCAATTGCAAAAGAAGCAATTCCGCCCTTTCTGATAGGTAAAACATTAAAGTGTTATTATTTTACGCACTGCTGGCCACTGGCACACAGTAGCAAGCATATAAGTTCAAGTTACCAAAGTCAATCTACTGACGCTGGACATTTTTTTTTTTTTTTTTTTAAGGCTGCACAACAAACCAATGTGTAAATAGATATAAATAAATATTTCTAATAATTCTAGCCTTTGATGTATGTTGTCATGCGCTATGTAGCCTACCGGCAGCCTGGTGGGACTTTTTATATTCATAAAGAAATGTCTGGTGTTGAAATAAAGTCAGATTGTAGTGCATCTGTTAGCCTACTTTCTTTTTGTCATGCTTGATAACCGTTTTATAAAAGTAATAGCTCACTTCAGGCCGTGATATATTATATCGCAGAGAGTCGTCGTTCGGCCCGACGCGAAGTGGAGATACCACGACCTGTCGTGAACTATTGCTTAAATTATCTATGAGTATTTTCTCTGTGTCATTATCTTCACCTGACAGAGAGACATTTTGGGAAGGGAACACTCAACCACATGCAGCCCAAACGTAATGACCACGTGGCTGTACGAACCCGTGAGAACGCGTTCACCTATAAGCAGATAGGAAAAAACAGAAAAAACAGAACCATGTTGCATGTTTGCTGGTAGTTCTTGATATTTGGCTCTTAACTAGGCTGAAAAACTTTGATGGTGCAGATCACAGTAAAGAGATAGTCTGTGCTTGATAAAAACATGCAGGTTTATTATTATAATATTAAACATCTACTGTACTGTAGATAAACTAGTGCTGAGCTGTTACACTAACAGACGTCATCTGCAGGTTTTGTGTTTCTGCTGCGTCTTGTTTATTCATGTGGCAGTGACTGAACAGACTGTCGAGAACGCTCTGTCTAGATTCCCGTCCTCCATTTCTTGACTCTTTTCTTTATGTCCCTCATGTCCTCCCTGTGTGCTACAGAGCAGCGTGATGTCATTATGTTGGAAACATTTAATTAAACAGTTCATGGTGCTGAGTAAATCCTGTAAAACTACATCACACTGGGCCTGTGTGTGTGTGTGTGTGTGTGTGTGTGTGTGTGTGTGTGTGTGTGTGTGTGTGTGTGTGTGTGTGTGTGTGTGTGCGTGTGTGTTAGGCCCGTCTGTCCTTCCTCTACTGTGTCTACCAGCGCCTGCTGGCCGGCTGCGTCCTCCTCAATGAGCCGCAGAGCATCCTGGGTAATTTCTCCTGGAAGGAACTTTGTGACGTCATCAACGAACAGGTCGACCAGCTGACTTCTGACCTCCGGAAGGCCAACAACAACGTGAGCAGCGTGTCACCTTGAATTACAACATCTTCCTTAAAGATGGTGAAAATATTGTCAAAAGCATTTATTTATTTCTAATGTAATTTCAAACTCTAAACTTTGCCGTTAGCACGTAGCATGTAAACATGTGGTCACATGGTGACAGAATTCATAGGGATTACTCTCTACAGATTTTCAGCAGTAGTTTAAGGTATAAGGTAGTTTTATTTCTCATTTTATGACACAGGGTTATATAATGAGATGAAATTTTAGTTCCTGTTATGCTGCTCACATAAAGCAAATGTTATATACAAAAATAATATACTCTAATATAATATAGACTGGTGGATAAATACCAAGTTATAGAAATAAATCTATTTTGCGTGGTGCAATCTCGCAGTAAAAGTAAAAACTGCAGGTTGTGAGACCAGCTGATACCAGATTAGCTTTTCCCCCCACTAGTGGTAAAGTTTTAAGAGCAGAAAGTTATCTCAGCGCTGAATCAGTCGGAGGCTGACGTGAGCATTATTTCTCTTAGTTACGTTTTTAAACGATGTGACGTGAAAGCGGTTTAACTGTCACGTGTTCACCTGTCCCTGCTCTGTGTCTCTCTCTGCAGATCGCCCACCTGCAGAGTGTGTGTGAGAAGAAGAGTGCGTGTGTGCGCGAGCTGCAGCGCAGTCAGGAGTGTGTGTTGTCTCGTCTGGAGGAGAGCGTGAGGAGGAGGGAGGAGGCGTGGAGCAGCCAACACGTACACACTGTGACACAGCTGCAGAACGAGCTGCAGGTAGCGCGCACACACACACACACACACACACACACACACACACACACACACACACACACACACACACACACACACACCCCTCAGGTGTTTTTATTCCTTATAAAGCTGATCTGCAGTCAGTCGTCGATCCCTCCAGCGACAGAGACGCTCAGAGCTGAATCAGCAGGAAGAGATGAGGAGGTTTGGATACTTGTGAAGATGAAGGAGGAAGTTTTGTTTCAGTCGACTGTCCCTTTGGTCAACTTCCCCGTGAAGTGATGAGATGACAGATGCTAAAATCATCACTTCACCTCCAACTTTATTGTCCCCAAGAGGAGAGATTCACTTTACAGCAACTGTTCTACACAAGTAGGGCAACATATACAGAAATAAAGCAACGGTATTTAGAAAAGTGATGAATGTGCCACACACAAGTGTTGATACAGACGGTTGGTGGTTGTTCTAAATGTTGATTCTGGTTCTTATCAAATTCTGATTCTGCAAATGAGGAGGTATTTTTATGGCTGCGAGTAACAGTTATTTACATGGGCAGTTAATCTGCCAATTATTTCCTCAACTAATTTGATTCATGAAATGTCAGAATAGATTAAAAATGTCTTCAACAAACGTGTGTTCAGGCATAGAAATAAGCTAAGAATAAGAAAATGTAAATTTACTTTCTTTTGAGACAAGGAAAGGTAACAAATCAGCAGTTGTGAGAAGCTGGATGCAGCACATGTTGGGAGTTTTTACTAAAAAAGATTCAAGCAATGAATTGATTATAAAAATAGTTGCATTAATTTTCTGTTCATCATTTCAGCTCCGGTAATTCGTGATTTTCCCTCGGTAAAAAGAAAAGTATCTCTCTATTTATTGGAGACTAAGCACATATGCTGGAATTATATTCCTGCAGTAGGAGATGCAAGAAACTCCTGGTTGAGAAGATGAACAGCTGTGTAAACAGAAGTCAAAGGCTCAAGCTGTATGATACAAGAACTAAAGCAGAGAGGTCAACTAGGACTACGATATCCAATCACAAATATTGAACTAGACCTGCAAGGCGGTAAAATCAGATTCTGGAGCAGTTTGGGATGAATTCAGCTACTTTGGCTTTGTTCTTTTGTTTCATAGTCTCCTCCCAGTTCTCCGCCGTTTCCTCTTTAACAAACACACTCTGTCTTTGTTTTAATTTGTTTCTGCTTCAGCCTCTTCTTTGCAGACTCACAGCAGGCTCACATGATCTCTTCCTCTGTCTCTCAGGCGTGTCGCTCTCAGTGCGACTCCCTCCGAGATCACGCCTCCTCTCTGGAGCTCCGCTGCTCCTCGCTGACCTCTGACCTCTCCCGGCTCCAGGGCCTCCTCTCTCGAAGCCGCAGGGAGGCGGCCTCCTTCCTGTCGGCCTGCGCCCTGCTGGCCGGGGCGCTGAAACACACTCGCCTCTGTCTGCAAACACTCTCCAAACAGAAAGCACTCCTGTGCAGGCGACTGGCAGAGAGGGAGGTGCTGGAGGAGGAGGTGAGGACGCTGGCCAGAGCTCTGGGAGGTGAGGAGGATGAGGAGGAGGAAGAGGCAAAAAGGAGTAGGAGGAGGGCAGTGAGGCGGCGGTGGAGGAGGAGTGTGTGTGTGGTGTTGGCGGTGAGGAGGTGGCGTGCACTGGCCAAACAGACGACAGTGTTGTTTCGGCTGGAGAGAGGAGGCGGCGTTCCGGCTGTGTGTGTCTGTGGAGAGTCGGCTACGGCAACACAGAAGGGTGAAGGCTTACCGAGCACAGGTAGGCAGTCACTTCTCCTCGCTACATATGTTTAATTAATTTGAAACTGGAGTGGGGGATGATTGGGAGTCTGCAGATTATTTCTCTATTCATCTTAGTTTATAAAACGTCAAAAACAACGATGTTAATTATTGTTATAACATGTTTGTCTGTTCTCGATCAGTTGTCTGTAAACAGTTTGTAGCCTGTGAGGCCGTCATCCTCATCACATGCCAGAGAAACAAAACTGCTTAACCTGAGAGCTGCACAGCGTTAGATTCTGTTAGAGACATTTCTACCATAAATCGATGCAGGAAATAAAGTGTTTTAATGCTCAAAACTTTCATATAATTCACCAGTGAAAACCAGTGTTAATCTCATCTCAGTCTCGTGTCTTGTCTCATCTTGTGAGCTCAGTGTCTCGTCACGACCCAATTTGCTGCTCCTCCATAGTTACATAGTGGAGCGTTTAGCAGCTAAAGAACCAGATGTTTCCCTCAGCAGCTGGTGGAGACTAAACCAGACTAAACCTTTGTTTTGTGTCCAAACAAAGTTTTAACATTTATTCCGTGAGAGTTTCACCCTGATGATTTAATTCCTGTGGACATGATGCTCATCAATACACAGAATGTGATGAGACCGTAATCAGTGAAGTCCTAAAGAACGCTGCCGTTTGTTTGGAAAATGGTTTAAAACAACCATCATGTAAAATAATTACCGGGTTGATCTCCTATCTGTTTATTTCTTTTGAATTTGTATTTTAGATAAAGATGGTGATGATGAAGGTGCGTGTGCCCGCTGGCTCCTCTCTAAATGTCTGGCCTCCACCATTCTGTCGTCCGTGGCCGATCTGCAGAGAGCTCTGGCACACACTGGTAACCACACACACACACACACACACACACACACACACACACACACACACACACACACACACACACACACACACACACACACACACACACACACACACACACACACACACCCCATATATGTGACTTGGCCCATGTGTGATCTGCTAACTTGGAGGGGTTTATCAATAGGTTTGTTTCCCATCTTTCTAAACCGTCTGTTCAGGGTCATCACGGAAGTCTTTTTTACTCTCTAGGCTCCTCCCCTCCTGATGTGATGTCAGCAGCTCGTTCTGGCTTGTCCCGCCTCCTGGATCACCTTCTTGACCAATCAGACGCGGCGTCCAGTATGTCTCCTTGCAGAGTGGACACGCTGAGCGGCCGGCTGGGACTCGGCCTGAGCAGACGGAGTCCACCACAGCCCCACATGAAGGTCCCTCAACACACACACACACACACACACACACACACACACACATATATAATATGCTTTTATGTGACTCTGTCACTGTGTGTGGACCAGCAGTACATGCAGTAATAGTATTTGTACAAGCTGCAGGTTCAAACTGCTATTTGTCAGTTGGTTCAGCTACATCATGTGACCTTTGACCTCTGTGTGTCTCCTCCCGTCAGGCCCTGGTGTCCGCTCTCCAGCAGCACTTCCTGCTCTTCAGCCAACGGCTGCACTCGGCCGAGGTGGAGAGGCGGAGCCTGAGGCTGGAGGTGACCAATCTGAAGAGAGGACTGCGACAGGAGAGAGCCGAGACCTGCAGGACGGTGCGGCTCAACACACACACACACACACACCTTTACTGTCCTTTACTGATGAACACACACGCCTGACTGACTCTGTGTGTGCAGGTCCCTGCGGAGCGGTTCAGCAGTGTGTGTGTGGAGCTGCGTCAGGCTCTGAGCAGGGAACAGGAAGCTCAGACGCTCATCCAGGAACAGACCAAGCAGCTGCACGCACTGCAGCTCCAAGTGAACACACACACCGCCGAGCACACCAACACACAACACACTCTGAGACAGACCACGCAGGTAAGCATGTATATATGTGAATATATACACGACCTGTTTAACCAACTGTGTCGTAGAGAGAAATCCCCCTGATAACACTGAAACAGGAATCCTGTCCCTGTACGCTCCACCGCCCCACTCCTTCTCCTCTCTGAGCTCCCAGCGCTTTGTGAACGGTTCGTGATCGTTCCCTCTGGCTGGATAAATATTACGCGTAATCCATGCACCACTGCAGCTGGAGGCTCCCCGCAGCGCCACGCAACTTTCTAAATTCTTCCCTCTCACGTAGAAAAGAAAGGTCAGGTCGCAAACACAGCTGTAGTGTGAAGCGTAATTGTAGCAAAATGGCTTCATATAATAATAATAATAATAATAAGACAAACATGCCTGATACTTTCACAGTCAGCCCCCGGCCGACATGCTTGCAACTATTAATGATTCAGCAGTAAGAATCACAGTCTGCCCTCCTTCATCCCTCCTGCTCCACCTACAGCACCTGCTCTTCCAGTCACATCCGGTTACAAATCCCGACAGCTAAAGCAGCGCTAGGTCGCTCTGCCTTTCAGTTCGCCGCGCCCAACGATTGGAACCACCTACAAAATCACTCTGGTCACCACTGCCTCTTTTAAAGGCACATTTCACTCACTCATTCACAGACACCTGTAACCGCTTCATGTGAGCAGAGCGCAGATGGAAAAAGTCTCCAAGTCCATTACCTCAGTCTGAAGGATCTATTAATTAACTACAATAACATGGTTAAGGATGTGAGAACACACTATTTTTCTGAACTCATTACTACACATAAACACAATCCCAGGTTTCTGTTTAAGACTGTGGATCAGCTGGTAAACCCAACCCCTCCTTGTGCCTCAGCTGGAAGTAATGATGACTGTGAATTGTTTTTATCTTATTTTACCAATAAGGTGGTGTCAATCAGAGCCTCTATTACCCCCGCGGCCTCTTACTCAGAGGTCCCTCACCAGCAACAACAGAGTTTTAACCAGTTTTATCCCATCGACTTGTCTGAGCTTTTAAAAACAGTAACACAAATGAGAGTGTCCTCCGGCCCACTTGATATAATACCTAAAATTTTTTTACTGAAAGTAATAGATTCTGTTGGGCCCCATTTGATCTCTGTTTTCAACAGCTCCCTATCTACTGGTTGTGTCCCTGATTATTTTAAAACGGCTTGCGTGAACCCACTTTTAAAGAAACCTGGTTTAGATCCCTCCCTCCCACATAATTTTAGACCAATTTCAAAACTGCCTTTTATTGCAAAGATTCTAGAAAGAATTGTGTCCAAACAGCTGCTCACTGTGCTGGAAAATAACAAATTATTTGAAAAGTTTCAGTCTGGTTTTAGGAAGTACCACAGCACTGAGACTGCCTTGCTTAAAGTCACCAATGACCTTTTAATGTCTGCTGATGAAGGCATGTGCTCAGTCCTTGTACTCCTGGACTTTAGTGCTGCTTTTGACACCATTGATCACAACATCATGTTAGACAGACTGAGGCACTGGGTGGGGATCTCTGGTACTGCCCTAGAATGGTTTTCATCCTACCTGTCAAATAGGAAGTTTTGCGTGTCTGTAAACAACTATGTCTCTTCATTCTGTCCAGTTAAATATGGTGTGCCTCAGGGGTCGGTCTTAGGACCCATTTTGTTTTCCTTGTATCTGCTTCCCCTTGGACATATTATCCATAAACATGGCATTTCTTTTCATATTTATGCTGATGACACACAAATATACTTGCCCGTCAGATCCACAGACCCTGGAATGCTGAGTTCACTTAACAACTGCCTTTGTGAAGTTAAAAAATGGATGTCAAATAATTTCCTCCAGCTGAACTCAGACAAAACAGAAATCCTGGTCATCGGGTCCCAGCAGATGGCAAATCAAATACTGCCATCTGCTGGTTCCCTAGTAAATCACATTAAGCCTGTGGCAAAGAACCTTGGTGTTTGGTTTGATAGTAATTTAAATTTCGAGCAGTACACCACAAAGCTTGTTCAATCATGTTTTTATCAACTTAGAAATATAGCTAAAATTCGATCTATGTTAACTTTTAAGGACACCGAGACCATTTTACACGCCTTCATCTCATCACGTCTGGATTATTGCAACAGCCTTTTCACCTGTTTAACCCAAAAATCTATTGATCGACTCCAGACTGTCCAGAACTCAGCTGCCAGGCTTTTAACCAGAACAAAGAAATATGACCACATTACTCCTATTTTAGCTTCATTACACTGGCTCCCAGTATGTTTTAGAATTGACTTTAAAATTCTATTGATCACATTTAAAGCTCTTCATGGCCTCTCGCCTTGTTATATTTCTGACCTTTTAGTCCCATACACACCAGCACGTACCTTGAGATCCTCGGGCAGAGGTCTGTTGTCTGTTCCAGAGTCTCGACTGAAAACTAAAGGGGACAGAGCGTTTGCTGTCAGGGCCCCGAGGCTCTGGAACAGCCTGCCCGAGGAAATCAGGTCGGCTGAGTCAGTGAACTCTTTTAAGTCCCTTCTTAAAACATACTTTTATAGGAGAGCCTTTCCCGATCTTATTTGACTTTATTTTATCCCTTTTATTTTATTGTATTTTACTAATTTTATATTAAATTTTCATGCTCTTATCTTTTTTTGTATTATTCTTTACACTTGTTAAAGCACTTTGTAACTTGTTTTTGAAAAGTGCTCTACAAATAAGGATTATTATTATTATATTATTATTAATTATATTTCTTATTTATTACTATCTGCTGTCTTGATCTATTCATTTAACTACCGTGCCATGTCTACTCTCTGTAGATTAGCGTATGTCTTAGTTTGTTATTGTGTTTCTTGTTGTCTGTTTTTTTAAATTCTTTTATTTAGTTTTTGTTTCGTTTCTTTGTCTATTGTGAATAAATGATCCATTAATCGGCTAAGAAATCATAGAAAAACAGAACTTGCCTTAGAATCGCCAGGATTTTAAAGTTTCCTTCAGCGTGACAGTAATAGTTTTCTGTACATTGATGGGTACACTGCAAACAGGAGCTGCTAACAGCTAATTCTGCAGACTTTAAATTGACAATAGCAATAACGCCTGTAAGTCACAACTGTGGGAACCACCCCCCTCCCTGCCCTCAGCCCACGTGATGTAGTATAGTTCCAGGTAACATAAGCATGTACTAATTGTGAGTTTATTTTAATACATCATCTCTCTCTAGTCGCTGTCAGAGACTCGGCAGGAGGTGAGCCGTAAGGAGCGCTCGCTAAGGATTCTGGGTAAGCACCTGTCGGTGGTTCAGAGGGAGAGGAAGCAGCTGGAAGAGAGACTGCAGCGAGTCGAGGACGAGCTGAGAGACGCCACCAGGTAACGCACAGCTTTTATTCGTTCTCTTATAGGACTTTATTTCATTTCAGGGGATTAAAACTTCTCGCCTGACGTGTCCTCTTCCTCTCAGCCGTAGAGCTCAGTTATTGTTAAAAACTATTAAAAACCCATGCTCACACTAGAACACCACATGTGGATTCATCCGCCGCTGAAAATAGTCCCCTTCAAATGAACAATTTCCTCCTGTTTGTTTGATTAAAAAGTACAGTGAGCAGCTGTTTCAGATTGTTCAGTACTTCAATCTCACAGCAACAATAAATAACACACAATTTACAATGTCTGCTCCTTTTTAGTTTGATTAATCTGCAGTCTTCTTTATTTGATTATTCTTTATTTTCCAGACGTAAAGACTGTCTGATCAGCGCCATGAAGGCTGCAGAGACGAGCTACAAGGAGGTGAAGACGCACAAATACATAGACAGAGACACATTTACAGTGGCTATAGAGAGAAATATATATTTACAGAACTCACACGCACGTTTACACGTCTGGTGACACGACGCTCTGTTGTCTTCAGCTCAGAGAAAGCCTCGTCCAATCACGTCACTCCCTGTCAGCTCAGCCCCACCCCCTGCCATTGCCCAGGGAACACCTGGAGCTGAGTGGAGCGGAGAGCATCATCGGAGCTCCGGAGGTTGCAGCGTGCCAGGTAACAGAAAAAGAAGACTTCCTGTCTGTTTGTCTTTCTCAGTCATTACATTCTTTCCTGTTTTAACTCTCTCTCTCTCTGCGCAGAGTCTTCTCTCCACCTTCTCTCAGCTTTATCACACCTGCAGCTCCAGGATTGATTGGCTGGAACAGGAAGTCTCCGCCCACCGCTGTCACGTGACGGCGCTGCGCAGTGAGCTGCAGGACGCCTGTCTCCGCGACAACCTGGCCTACCTCCCGGTGAGGCCCTCGCTCCTTTTTATACGTTTATCATTTAATTATAGATCCAATATTTGGAAAATGAATCCCCATAATCAGTCAAGTCAAATATTTTTCAGCTTCTTCAGTGTTATTTTATGGTCTGGAAAATTGTGGTGGACATTTCCTGCCATTTATTTGATTCATGGATTAATCAACAAAATAAATGCCAAGTTCATCAATGATTAAAACAGCCATCACAGCCCCAGTAGAGATTAAACAAATAATAAAATAAATGAATTGGTTATTTGAAACTGAAAAGACAAAATTTTAGTGTTAGCCCTGTTGCCACTGGTATTTGCACCTTGTTGGTCATTTACATGTTGTTGTTGTTGTTTTTTATCAACAACTCTGCCTGTGATTGGTTAGTACTCGTTGCCTCCGTTGGTTAAGGTTAGAATATAGCCAATCAGAGGCAGAGCAGGGGACACGACTCGACGCAGAGCTGTTGTCAGTCAAATGAGAGTTGTCGAAACTCCGGCAGAAAAAAATACGGCAATCAAACATGGCTGTTGCCAAACTCCTTTAGTCCAAGTGATGCTGCTAAAGCCTCCCTCACAAAAATAGAACTGTTATGACTAAATTAATTTAAATATATTGTTACTCAAAATACTGGAAGCCTGTAAAATTTCCAGCTTTACGACTTGTGGAAGAGCACCTGAATGCACCGTTTGTCCCATACCTCTCTCCCCTTCAAATGTTTATTAAAATGCAAAGTCTTTGCGAGTTAAATACATTTAAGTGTCAAATAGATGAAGAACTATATTCATGTTGCTCAAATTCAGCCGGACATTTTCCAATTCAAATTGCTGAAACTGAAGACGTTAAATTCAAGCTACCAATGATGATCAGTTGAGCCTGAGTGGAACCGATCAGTTTAAGTTCTGTCAGTCGAGTTTTTAAAAAAATAACCTTCTGTAATTTCAAAACAAAGAAATCAAGATAAAATATTTCAGTGCTGTAAATGCATGAACATTAATTATTCAGTAATGATTTCAGTTTCACAGTTTGGTTTTCTTCTTCTACGTTTTCTCTGAAGCTTAATAAGTATGTAGCTCAGTAACTATGTATTAATGAGTAACGAGCTATTGAATTAAGCTAACATTTAATCAGAACATTATAATCAGGGATATGTTTCCTAGATTTGTTGTAGGGATTAAAATGAGAAAAACAAAATGATACATGCACGTAAACAAGTAAAATATTCAAAGAAGTCTATGGCGTGTGCTTTTAAATCATATAACAGCAAGATTAACCTCATAAAAAAATGCAGCATAACAAAAATACGGTAATTTTTATTTTGCATGGTTTGTCAGAAAGAAAACTAATTTCACTTTGTTTCAGGTGGCGGAGTTTCCTGAAACCTTTCCGATCGCTGATGTGGAAACCCCTCGACCTGTTCCGCTCTCTGATTTGTCAAAGGAGCCATCAGTCAGTTTAAGGACCGCCCCCTCCCAGACAAATCCCGCCCCCTCATCGCCCCTCTCCAAAACCCCCAGGGTCAAAACGAAGGAGAAGAAAGCTGTGAAGAAGAACAGAGGAGGAAAAGTGAGAAGATAAACAGACAGACCACCGACTTCCTGCTGTAGTTTTACCTGTTCACGTGACGACATGTAGCATGAACACAACACTCAAACAGTCCTGCAGATCCTAATTATCCAGACAGTTAAAGTCTGGAGAGAATATTTGGGAATATTTATCAGGATTTGGAAGTGCTCAATTTTTGAAAGTCAGTGAAAAGTCGTGGGATTTTTGTGTGTTGAGGTCATGGAAAGTCCTGGAAAGACGTGACGTCTTCCCTCAGCAAGTGTCCAGACAATCAAAACTGTTGCATCGGCTGCATTACAGTCAGACTTTTTCAATATGGTGGTTTGTGTTTCTGTTTCACATGCTCACAGCCGGTTGATGACAAACGAGTGAAGGCCATATGGCTGTGTGTGTGTGTGTGTGTGTGTGTGTTTGTGTGTGAGAGAGACACACCAGCAGCTGGTTACTGTATGAGTTTGTTTTAACCTCCAGTAAAATATCTGCTCTGCTCTCGTACTCGTAAACTTGGACTTTGTTTTTGAAGTTTGTTTCAGAATTTTTCATTTGAAGGAAAAACACCAAAGATGATGTTTGGCCCATCCATGTAACCGCAGCATCTCTGGTTTGATTCCACCTCCATCTCTAAACGTTCACTCTTCTGAAGTGTAACGATGTTGAGTAAGTAGTAGCCAAGTACGCAGGGTCTGAAGTTCGACTGACATCACAAACCTTTAAAAGAAATCTGCTCCTATACCGTCAAACTGTAACAGAGGCTGTGTTACTGAGAGGTGTTCAATATACGACAGAAGCCTAAACACAGCACTGCAAACAAGTTTCAACAAAAACCGAACACTTTAGCCCTTTAGTACCGAATCACATCTGGATCTAATGTGGACGTGAGACACTTGAAATGGAAATGTGGATGAACAAAGTGAGAAAAGTTTCCAACCAGAAGAAGAAAAACACGACAATTATTTTACTGCTGCTGCATCAGCACTGTGTGTGTGTGTGTGGCCCTCAGGCAGCATCCTGTGTCAGTTTTAGCCTCTGTGGATTTCTATTAAAGTGTGAACCAAAAAACGTCCTTACGCTCACACACCCTCAGGCTCTGTGTGTGTGTGTGTGTTTAAACGTCTTAATACATAGCGACTTAATCTGCTGTCACAGACACAGACGGAGTTGTGCTGATTCAGCCAATCATCACTCCTTCCCCTTCTCCTCCTTCCCTTCACATCACAGTTCAAACTGCATCTTTTTCTCAGTATTTGCGCCACTTCACACACACACTAGAAAACTACATTTTCCCCGACATGTAGTTATAAATATAAACAGCTGGTGTCGGGTTTCACACGAGAGTTTCATGTGATAAAACCTTCCTAAATCTATTTCAGTTAAACCGTCTGCACAACCGAGTTGTTGCCTTCGACACATTTACTGTGTTTCGGTTGTCCGAGGATGAAACTGATGTACAGGAAGTAATCGATCAAACATTCATCTGACAAAAGGTATTTTAAGTAAAATGCAGCGAGAAAAGAAAACAAGCAGTGGTTGATGTATCAAGACAAGTACACATTTTTAGGTTAATAATTAGGTTAATAATTATATAATAAATTAACTTCTTTCAAACTTCTTGCAAAATCTCCATTGAAGTCCAGACAAAAAAAGTCCTCGTGCAAAACAGTTGTCCTTTTACGTAAATTATAACGTATTCTGTAACGTCGTCGTCGTTATTGCAAACCAAAGAACATACAATCTGTTTATAGATATGATCGGCTCTTTCATCATCCTTACTTTCAGTTATTTCTTGTTTTCTTTTTTTCCACGGCCGCTGTTTGTGTTAGCATAGCCGTCAGTGTTTTAGTTTTCTTATTTTTTAAGATACTTCATTTGTCATGGAAGAGAGTGAAAGGAAACTTATTTTAGGAAAGTTATTTTTTTTTAAAGCTGTTTTTTTTGTGTAGTAAAATAATTTTTTCCGGGGGCCACAAGCTTTAAGATAACTGAAAGAAAATGGTGGCGTGGACGGAAAATGTTTTCCTCGACAGTAACTGGTGTGACTGGCGGACAGTAGGGGCCATTAAAGCTCCTACTCTCTTTCATCGTTTGTTGACTCTCCTGTCATTCGTTTTCAAAGGAGCGGCTAGCTTAGCTTAGCTTAGCATCACAGACAGGACAGCTGACTCTGGTGTTTCCATTTAGTCACACGCAGATATGACAGGTTTTATTCAACAGGAGACGTCCAGTGTTGCGGTCAGAGTTTGTCCCGCTCTCAAACGACAGATTAATTAAGTTTAATTCCTGATGAACAGGCAGCTTCTCAGATTGTACATCCTGCTGTAAGTGACAAATCTGAAGCAGGCTGAGAAGTGATGAATTCCCTCTGAGGATAAAACAGATAATCCCAAAACAAAGAGAAGCTCCAGCGCCGAGCGACACAACAGGATCACAGACTTGTGCTGCCTCTGCATTTCAAAACAACCAGTAATATACAAACTGACCGCCTTTAGTCAAATGTAGGGAAGTTAAAAGTATAATATTTTATAATATTCCCGTGGACTTGAGACCACAAAATGTCAAAAAGCAACTGAATCTTATGCTATCTTTTAAAACACACTATCGTCACTTTGTTGCATCTGAACTGTTAAAGTGAGGGACTTTAATCCTCCGCTCACTCCCTAAGCTCTAACAGGATTAAACGGGAGTCCTTTCTTGAATCTCAGAGCTGGGCAGGGTGGTGGACACACAGGCTGAAACTTGTGTTTTTCTATCATCATACCTTGTTTTCCAAGTTGAAAAAGAATAAAAATAAACACCAGAACATCCAAAGAAAACAAAAGTTAAGTACAAAAGGAATGAATTAAAAAATGCCAGTGTCCTGTTTTTGTTCTGGATCTCCCGTATGAATATTCACCACAGTTTTTATGTTCAAAAACTTCATGTTTCATCTCACCGAGTCCTTGTTCCTCCCTGCCTGCTGTCCTAGTTGTACCTGTGACAACACACACACACTTAAACACACACTTTCCCCAACAGCGACGGCATCGCTGCCAAGTTGGACTTGCAACAAAGAGAAACCCTCACACGAGTAATGACACAGATATAAAGGGGGTGGGATCACACACACTCGCTCAGAGGGGTGGGATAAGGGACTCGAAAGAAGGGAGGATGGGAAGGAGGGGGGGAGTAGAAAGAGAGGACACACACACACACTCAGATAGTCGAAGCATATGTGAGGGGACACGCTCTAAAGACCCATAAAATGCACTGTTAAATACATAATACCCACCACACACTCAGAGAGCCTTTAGTGTCATGTAAAATTCACCTCCGGGTGCCGCTGAAGTCGGCGTTTGTGGTGACAAATGACAGAAAAGCGACTGAGAGGGAAAACCAATCCCGCCAGCTGAGCGGGATCAGAAAGCTTGTTTTTAAAAGGCCGTGCTTTTTCATGTTTTAGCTCAGGATGAAAATCAGACAGACAAACGTAAAGTGAGGGTGAACTGGGAACGTTTGGCTAATGGTCGTGGTTACGCTAGCTCGGTGGGTCCATCCCCGGCTCCTTCAGTCTGTACGTTGAAGTGTCCTTGGGAAAGATACTAAACCCCAATATATTCATGTATTAGTTTCTGTTTTTGATCTTACATGGTATGTTTGAGAAGTAGTTGTTGGAAGATTAGAAAGGCTGCAGTCTATTTACCATTTGGCAAATCACAGCATGAAGGCGGTGGGAATGTCGGATCGCCTGTTTCAGAAAGTTACAGAAATTGCCGTACACGTCTCAAAGGTGGAGGGGGAGGGGGTTACAAAGGTTGTCTGACCTTCCGGCTTTGGCCTCAAGTTCTTCATCTCTTCACTGTCTGGAGTCAATACTTCAGCATCCTATGAAAGTTTTAAGTCAGAGCAGGAATTTAAATAACTTTCCTTTACTGAAACGGCTGTTGGGAGATCTGTACCTGTTGTAGCCTCGAGCCAACAACCATAAGCGGTGAAGTGGCGTCCTGTTTACACATGAGGCAGATTGGTTTGGTGAAGAGGGAACTGAGCCTGAAAGCCAAGTTTCTGAATCAACAGTTGATTCGTGTTCCAGGTTAGTGACTGAAAGAATAATTAGTTTTCTTGGCAGAGAGTTACTACGGTTTAGTTGTAGAGGTTAAAGAGCGCAGATATCCAGAAGGAGCTCAGAGGAGAACCATCCATCCATCCATTGTCAACCGCTTATCCTGCGTACAGGGTCGCGGGGGGCCTGGAGCAAATCCCAGCTTACATCGGGCGAAAGGCGGGGTACACCCTGGTCGGGTCGCCAATCCATTGCAGGTGAGAGGAGAATGATGAACAGATCCAATTGATGTGGTTCAGCATCTGATCAAGATGAGTCCTGAGCACCCTCCTGAGAACATATTCAGCACATGGGGTCGACCCAGAACCTACTGGAGGGATTACAAATTCCATCTGCCGCGAGAGTGCCTGAAGAGTCTGGAGGGAGAAGCTGGGGTTAAGGACTTCTGGACTATTTTACCTACCCTGCTGTCACCAAGACCTGGACAACACAGTCTCACTACCAACTCGTCACATATGGACGCTTGGTCAAGACCCTTCTGACCAAGAACCTTTATTGTTTCACATGGGAAACAAACACTGGTCTCTTGGGCCACCCATCCACTCCAACCATCTCCTCGCTCATGCTTCTTTGTAAAATATCCTACACCTACCTTTAGTGTTCATAAACAACGCCGCAGGTCTTCCCCCTGTGAGTTGAACTATGACGCTAAGGGGCCCCCAGTGCTTTACAAACTGAGGCCAACGGATCTTGACCATGCGCGACAACTTGGGAGTGAGAAGGGTTTGACCTGGATAAGCAGCGGGAAATTAATGGATGAATGTCTTTAACAATGTGCAGACTCGCATTACATGTGTTGGAGTCCTCGCAGTCCGACTGAATCATACAGTATGTGTTGTTTCATGATTCTAATCGTTTGCCCTCTGATTGAGTCGCTGGCCATCGTTCTCATGATTATTTGTGGATGTTTGATTGATGAGGATTTTTGGGAAAGCCATTGGACTGCAAACTTGTCTCATTTTGGTAAAAAGGCCCTGGTCACCAGTGGAGGCTGCAGCGATGATGTTCAAGGCTTCAACCATCAAAGGTGTTGCTGCTTTGTTGTTTTCGGAGTCGAACAAACAGTGTGACCTGGTTCAGAGAGTTTAGACAAGACCGAGCCAAGAATACAGGACCAGGACACACACACATTCAAACTCAGGACAGCGAGGAGGTGGTACTGCTGCTGCGTTTCAAACACGACCCCTTTGAGAGGTTCTGGTTAGGGAAGTATGTCAACCAACGGCGGGGATCACACACACACACACACACACACACACACACACACACACACACACACACACACACACACACACACACACACACACACACACACAAACACACACTAACAGAGCGTTAGCGTCTGATATTCTAATTAGTAAGACATCAAAACAGGAAAGAGGTCCACCAGCTCCCAGCAGACACAAA